CAACGCCGCAGGTTGAACAGTGGGATTAGAAAGACGGCACAATCCCACTTGTAGCCAACTCTTCAGTCTGAATTTTAAGTTAATTTCCCCGTCAGCAGACGTTTCACATCTTCCCTTTAGCTGGCATGTTGTCATGCAACAGAAAACACTGGGAGGTTTCAACTACTAATTTGTAACAACACGTGCCATTTGGTTTCAGTCATGAATGCTACCAGTGCCAATGCGGAGCGTCAGACAGGAAACAGTGAGTAAAGTGTCTGGAGGAAGAAAAACTCAATTTAATGAAGAGCGTGTGGACAGGCTGTCAGCTCAGTTGTCAGGATTCACTCCATAGTCTGCCCTGAGCAATCTGCAGAGTTCAAAACTGTCTGGCGGACACTAAGGCCACATCCACACGGATACGTTTTCATTTTAAAACGCATGAGAACAGTCTCTGAACACTCAAGTATTTAGCACACTTTCAGAAATGATTTCCGTCCATGCTAACATGCCTGAAATGCATATCAATATTAATGTACACTGGGCATGCATGTGTCGGTGTAAACAGGAAGCAGGTGGTTTACTCTAAGGTTGGCTGCTTAGATACAGAAAATACTACGGATATGGTGAATACCACAGATTTCTTTGCTTGGACCGACACTGTGGTGGAACTGTTGCCGCAAGTAACACGAGTATAAGACGGTCAGGGCAACAGAAAACAGATTGGGAGTCACTGTGTAGCCAATATGCTGCCATATTAGAGGGTAGCAGGAGCGTTATCCCTTGCTAGAGGAAGCCATGGCGACGTGAAAGGAGTACCCACAAAAGTAGAATAAATAAATGTAAACCTAGCTATGATGTTTTGAATTGACATTTTAGCTGAAGATCGAATCAGGAAGCAAATGCAGATGTCTGTGTCATTGTTTCCGGCTGCCCAGACTACAAGAGACATGTATAGCTTTCATTTCAATATTTCAAATTCCATTTGAAGCCTTCACGACACGCCCCTACAAACCGCACCCACCTCCTAGACAAACCCACCAATGTAATGGTTATTTAAACCTTGCTACAACGCTGCAATAATCCACTTTATAATTCATTACACACAAAGACATGATTCATCTTATGAATACAGAGATGTAACCTATACCATTATGCTGACCTTTAACACCCGTCTTAAACCTAATACTTTATAGTTAGCTAAATGCTAACTTAGCATTTTCTTCAAGGCTTTTGCTTCCAGACCAAAGAGCGAAGGGGGCTGATCATGGACTAATGTGTACATACAGTGGGAAAGTCATGGTGCGACTCCAAAACGCAGCCAACCAACATTTTCAAAAAGGACCCCATTTTCAGGGATCCAAAATGGCGGACTAGTGTGGACACCCAGCATAAACATAGCAATAGTTAAGCATTTTAAAATGAAACATATTAGTGTGGATGTGGCCTAAATATGACTTTGAGGGCGAAGTTCCTTTTCAAGAAACATTGATCCTTCCTATGTCATTCACTAGACCTGTGCTAGCTGAAGCTACCCAGAACTTTACAAGACATTGTTTGCTTTTTAGACAATTTTAATCCAAGACTGACATGAATCACTTTCTGACCCTCCTTCACAGTAATCAGATGCTCTCTGCTCGCAAATCAAATCTCACTTTTCCAATATGACGTTGACGTTTTCAGTCTAATTCAGTGGTTTCACTTAAACTCCTAAAACACAGAACACTTTATTATTTTTTTTTTAGACAGAAGAAACAAATCTCAGCCTGGTTCTTTTCTTCTCACTGACAAGCCAGCAATCATGTATGAATATAAAAGCAAACCTATAACGCAAAAATGAAATCTGTGACCAAACTGTAACAGAAGTTAAAAACTGGCATGCTTTATACAACTAAAGAAAACCCACTTTCCAGGTCGTAAAGGTGAAGGGGAGTGAACAGGTCAACAGAAAGGAGGAAAAACAGAGCAGGAAACATTGACATCTTACAAGTCAGCGACAGCGGGTATTAACAGGTTAAGTTGAGGTGTTTACGCCTCACTGACAACTTACTATGGCAGGGCATCACTGAGAATATATAGAATTGATTTGATAACTAGACAACTCAAGATTTTCTTTTTATAATTTACACTTTGTTAGCTTCCTATGCTAAATCAAAGCATATACCAACGAGTTTATTACAATTTAACTCCAATAATCTTTCATTACGACACTAACATCAGTTTATATTACTTTACAAACTGCTAAATAAACCCAAATTTCTGACTCGTGATATCAGTGTCTCCTCTCCGTTCCATAAGGATGGAAGGCAATGACCATTTCAAGAACGAAACAAGCTCCGAGTTGCATCATCCTGTACCAAGTAAAATCAAACCCATCCACGTCTTATTAATGCACACGCCCCTTATACAAAAAGCAGACAGTGTCCCAACACCCCAATCTCACACTCAACCAAATAATCCAGTTCTTCATGTGCACTGGCTGGCATGCTTGGCGGGTCTGTTGAGAAATGCTACCTTTGTAAACATCTCTGTGATTCACGCTTTCTTTACAGCACCAATTATCTTCCAATAAATCATCTGTCTGACAGGAAATGACTCTTGAGTTTTTGAATACGAGCTGAGCCCACACGCAGGAATGCTCCACAACTTTATCAAACACTTTTGAAGAGTTGCTGGAACCAGAGGTGTGCGTGACGGCCCTGTTTCCAACTTTTTTCTAAGCACCAACCGGTAAATAATGCGTGGAGTGACCACAAGCAGGCCTGTCGAGGGCTTGATGAGGCTACAACTGGGATACAATGGAAGAGCCGATTTGTTTGCATGAGTTAGAGGTGAAAGCTAAGTGCAAAAATCCTTATTGCAACTCATCAGAATAATCACAAGATCACATAAAACAGCAGCTGCTTTCGTAATAAGACTAGGGTAAAAGGGGGAGAGGGCGTCGCAGTCAGCAAACGGGCTGTCTGACAAGCTGTATACACAAAGAAAAAAAAATTCCTTTCCTTTATCCTCAACAAAAAGAAAAAACAAGGTGGAGAAAGAACGCAAAATTAACTTGGCTATCACTGCTGCAAACAGTGGCAACAAACCTAGAATTTAACACTGGTGGTTGAACTTAAAAACAAAAAGGGTGTCTGGCTGAACTAAATCAAGCCACTGTTGAAGCAGAGTATTAGCAAAGAATAAAGTTACATGCCATCAACCTAGTAGCCAGAGATGTGTAACTGGTTACAAGCGGCAAGTGAAGCAGGATGACGTCACAGATGTGCTCCTACTGGGTGATTTTAGCTCCGCCACTGACAGGCAATGTCAACTGAGAGCTGCGATGATAAATTAACAGATAGAACAGGTGGTTGTTTGACGCAGAGGTGAGTCTCTGACAGAGTCAGGTCGGACATTTGGCGAGCAACTTGATTCGCTGAGTGAGACGATTTGATCATGGCCCTCACTTCCTTATTAAGGTGGTGGGTGAGGATGAGTGAGGTTAAGGGAGGGAAGGGCACAAATGTGTCAAGGATCAAGTGGCTTTTACTTGTCAAGTAGCACAAGGTGCATTTTCACCCCTTCGAGAATGGTCTGCGACCCCAGAATGAGTTCCTTCGTTGTCTCCTTTCCGGGGCAGCAATGTCTGAGGAGTGTGTGGTGTCGTCCAGACCTCCCAGTCACACACACACACCCATCAACGTTCTGATTGCAGATCAGTGATTTGTAGTAATGTTGTGAGGAATGGAGACAAGGAAGAGAATTCATTCAACATCTAAATGGACCGAACTGAGACCTTCAGTCCCTGTTTTCATTTTCAGCCCACGTTCTTTTGCACAGCCAGGGATCTGTCCATCTGTCCCACATAAGCCCATCCATCCCCCCTCTCCTCGCCTTGGCGTTGAAGGCTTTTCCCTCACCCCCTCACACACACATAGGCAGGCGGCAGATCAGATCATCCTGTTGCGTTTGTGTGTAGGGGAGTCTGTGATGACATCACTGCACTGGGTGGAGTTTCGTTTCCTGGTTCCTCCCCCTCCAGCAGAGGCAGAGCCTGTAGAGTCCAGATGCAGTGCCATCTCTTCCGAGATGAAAGTGTTCAGGTCGACGTCTTGGAGCCCGTTGCGCCTGCTGCGGCACACCGGCCCCGAGCCAGAAGATCCACCTACACCAGCACCACCTCCATTACTGCTGCTCCCACTCACATGTGTGGGAGACCCTGGAGCACCGGAGCGCACACTGATACTCGCCATGGCTCCACTCAGACCTGTGAAGGGAGGAGGGGACAGGATAGAGAGGAGAGAGCAGCATCAGACCAAGGGCATCAGTGGATGGAGAAATGCAACGGATATCATATGAAAATTCTGATAGCGAGATTAAAAAAAAAGGATCCAAAAAACCCTCAGTCAGTAGCAGCTGCAACTATTCATCTCCATTATTTATGGACTTTGCAATGAGGCAAGCTACCTTTGAATGAAGGCTACATGTACATCAATGGCGTCTTTTAAGTGGACGAACAGTGACAAACAACCAAGCACATCATTGTATCATCATCATCATCATCACCATCAATCCCATATTCATCATATTTGCACGACCCCAAATGACAACCGTCCGATCCAAGTGGCATCAACACACAGGGGCAGAAAGATGGTGCCTCATCTTCCCAGAGAGGGTATTTGTGGGAAAAAATGTTTTGCGCTGCTTAAGCATGTCAGTCATCAAAGCTTAAGTGTTCATCTCTAATCTTAAGACATGAAGGGAGTGTCACTTTTTTCCTCTGAGATATAACCAGCTCCTTGGGGGAGCTACTGAAATGTGTAACCGGGCAAGACGTTCCCTTGTGATGGGAAGGAGACAACATGTAAACAACCTTATCATTTGTCAAGGTCACTCGCTCAGGCCGTAGCGTCAATGGCTGTTTCCGTCTCCAGGTCATCGCTTAGTGCCAAAACTTAGGCTGAACAAAATGACTCTTAACTCGTCATAACTTCAGTCATGATGTCGAAGTGGCACGTATATCTTCAAACCACAGTATGGTAAACTAACGGAAAAACAATTTCTATCCCTGAGGGATGTAAATCATAAGCTTCGTCATTATACGATACAGATAATATTGGTAAATATCCTTATTGTCTTTTCTTACCTAGCACTGAGGTGCACTTGGACATGTTGCCTGGGAATTTGAAAATATGGGTGTATTTTTAAAATTAAAGTGTGAATAAGTGTTTTAATTTTGCATTGATAGTATTGGATCGTTAATCATTGAATCATTATATCAATCCATGTTGGTGTAATTGTTATACCCCTACTATCCCCTTATCCCCTCACTGTAAAGATTAGAGTGTTCTCTAAATGCTCACGTACTGTATGAACTGTATTCATGATGCACTGCACGTCTGTTAGAAATACAGAGTTCATGTGTGTCACCACACTGAACAAACATTCTGTGAATTTGATTGTTAAGAGTTGGCACTGGACAGAAATGTGAAATGCAATTTGTCCATGTAAAATCAAAATGATTTTGTCTGCCCCAACACACAGACACTGGTTGTGAAATGCAAAAGGTATCTGATAACTGAAACCCCCTGACACAGACTGAACTTGTGTTTCTGTAACCTAAACCACCAAATGCCTAACATCATCCATGCTAACCTCAGCAGCCATTTAAAATGTGGGGACATTTAGATAATGTTCTCAGCACTCGTGTGCACCGACAGTACAGCAGAAATACCAACATACAGTAAAGAAACTGCATTACAAACAAACAGCAGCGTCTGCATATTTAAAACCAGGGTCATTATTAGCGGACTGCTTTCGCTTGTGCTTAAGTGGGACGTTCCCTCTCACAAACACACACACGAGGGGCTGAGAACGTGAGGCCCTCTTTCACCATTGGCCAATACTTACACACCCGTGCGTAACATACCCTTATCTCTGCGCCATATGTGGCAGAGTACGATTACTGAGGGACAAGCATGTGCTAAAACACTCTCTCGCACACATAAAAAACATGCTGCACCTCAGTGTTTAGACTTATTTTAACATTTTATAGTTCTGCTTCAGGTGATGATAAATGAGCCAGCTGGTATGTATGAAAGACATTTTCACACAAACACTCTATAACACATTGCCAAACCTTAAATAGCCTTATAGAACAGCAGTAACACTGATTTTCTATCCAACAATGTGGCTGCCTCATGGGTTGTAAACCATGCCTCTGATTTGGTGGCTAGAATGACTACTGGTGTGTAAGCTGTGTGCCATGCTCACACTTAACTCACCATGCAGTGCTATGGCCTCCCTGAAGGGCTGGAGGTCTGCTTCCACAGATGAGCCAGTCTCCGCTGGTGAATTAGCCCGGCTGGGGGCCACCATAGTCAGCCGAGGGTTAGCCCTGCTACTCCTGTGTGGTGGTGCTTTGCCACATAGAAAGCTGATAAGATCCTCCCTGCGGATGGTTCTCCGGCGCTTTTTCACCCAGGCCAACATGTCCTGCAATTCAATACAGGAGTGATACATCCATTAGTTAAGCAAGGTTTAATTTCATTAACAAACACTAATGCATTTTCCCCCCTTTCAGCACTCCTGTGCTCCCTAATGTAGGGAGGTGTTATATCACATTTTGTTCAGATACAAGAGAATGGAGGTGCTTAACAAAGGTAACAGAGGAACAAGACCCACCCTATTACGGCGCTGGTGGCCTATCTGGATGCCCCGATCAAAGCTTCTCTGATGGGCTTCAGCACTCTCTGCGATGGTGAAAGGCATCATGAAAATAATCATTGTTCATTATCATGTATTCCAAAGCAGCGCAAACATGTATGGTAACAGTGACAATGTTTTAGTCCAAAGCCAGAAACCATTAGGAAATCTTAGTATCATGGATTATAACGTACATACTTTTAGCTCTGTTTGTTTTTGTGACAACATAAAAAAAACATGACTGGCAGTTTTTAAATCAGCAGCAAATTAACAACTCGCTAGTACAACTCTACCTGGGAATCCTTTGCCAAGTTTTGAGGAATAAGTCCACCAAATTAGGAGTCAAGTCCAGTACAATCTCATTCTTACAACTGACAACAAAATATCTCTGTTTCACCAGTGAATTCCTGACATTGTTATAGACTTTTAAATGCAGTGTTTTAACCCTTCAGTGAACATGCCTTTCACTGCCATACAATAACCTACAAGCCCTGTCACAGACTGATCAATATGGAGCTGATAAGAGTGTTTACATCCTGTCAGAGGAGCCTAAAAACATGTCAGTATTTACAAGTACAATGACAGCCTGTTTGGTGTAAGGAAGCACAAAAACAACAGTAGGTGTAGTAGTTGGCAGCAATAAATCTTGCTCAGAGGCACAAGGATGGAGAAAGGAGTGATGTGGTTTGATACCTTTGTAGAGGTTGGTAAGGGCTGTTGCAGAGTTCTGAAATGGCACCCACAATGACAGGCCCTGCTGATGGCATACTCTGTCTGTGGGAACACAGGAGAAATATGTTTGGTTTCTATACATTAAATGCTGCCATAATTTCAAAGCAAAGCAATCTTGACTAATGTGACCAAAGGACAACAGAACATCTGATAGCCACTACAGCTTGGTGATGACAGGGTTGACGTGAAGATCATTTTCATTCGCCATTTTGTCTTACATCTACAATTGCAGGGACAGGGTTTGGCATAAAAATAACTGTCAGCCAGCGCTAGATGGCCAGCTTGGCAGCAGCTTGTTTAGCAAGAAAGCACCGACACACAAACTTACTGCCCTCTCAGCAGTAAAGTTGCAGAGCCATGTCAAACATGCATGTCAAACACGGATAGACTTAACAAGTCGAGCTCTGTCAACAAGGACCGGAATGTAATGCGTCTGAAAGCACCACAGTCGCAGCATACTGTAGACAAACCAATATTTCCACAGCGAACCAATACTATCCTCGCCATTTTGTGATTATAACGCTAGCTTAACTTGCGCGTTGCTAAACAAACTGCCTACTCAGCGGCAAACCGGGCGTTTTGGGACTAGAGTATATTATGTGGCGTTAACTTTATATCTTTAAATCACATTTCAACAGCTAATCGCGCCCGGTGTAACAGATGGTAACACTGACAGTATACAAGAGACTGTCATCTGGGAATGTCGCGTAGCTACGGTTGTTGTTACCATCGCCATTTTGTAACTAGCCTGGCTATCGTTACGTTAGCTATCAGCTGCTGTCTAACTTGGTGTCAACAAGCAGTCTTATTGACAAAGGTTTTCATATTAACTTTAGCAGCTTAAATTATGCCAGTCCCAATAGATATGTTTGTTTAACAATAAAACAAAGTGTAAAACGTCGGATTCGAGTTCATAACTATTTTTTTTCGCTGGCTAACACAGCTAGCTAAATTTAGCATTGCAAAATCAGCTGTAAACGTTACCCAGTACTGGCCACTGAGTTTGCTAACGAGCTACTTAGCATTCTGCCGACAGTGACGCTACCGTTAGTTCACTGTAACGCCCGGTAAGTAGCCAGTGTGCTAACCAACAAGCCAGAAGCGTACTAGCAATGTAGCGTTAACTATAGTTAGACGAACAGTCAAAAAGACAGCGCTGATTTAAACCTTTGTATAACTGTGCCACAGCAGTGGCGGAGTTCTGGAAGAGATGCCACAGTTTTTCTTGATCGTTGTCGGCCTCCTCCTCGCTCGGCTCCCTTTGCTCCGCTTCGGCCAAGCACTGCCGCTCCCATTTTGAGAACCAGTGCTCGGGTCCGTGTTCCTGTATCTCCGAGTCTCCGTCTTCCTTCTTTTCCTCCATTTAATGCACCTAAACTCGAGTAAAACGCGGCTTTATGTGTTAAAAAATGAATATACGGACCCCGTATGAAGAATTATGTTAATAAATTCATGAATACTGTTAGCGTTTTAATATTTCGCACTACAATACAACGCAGTTCCCTATCCTAACTGCCATCTGTGAAGATAAGCTTAGCCAACTATTTTTCCTGGTAGCCGACGTCGAAATATATACAAGCAGACTACCCTGTTATGCGCTTGACCCCGCCCATTTTACCAGATGTCAGCTATGATTGGCAACATGAGCACTGCAGGGTGGGCTCGAGAGCCTTTCTCAGAATGTCATTGGCTCTTGGACACGTCCGTCACAGCATTGACACAAAAGAACCACCGAAAAAAATCCCCATTTACTAAAGCTTGCGAGAGAGCGCAAGATTTGTCGTGAAAACAGCGCAAATATAATATAATATAATATAATATAATATAATATAATATAATATAATATAATATGTTTTAGAAGATACCTTTTAAATAAAGGTTATCATCAATATAATTTTCTGTGAATTTATTCATCGCCCCTCGTTTTAATTCAGAACCTATAGGCAAGAAAATGACTTCATTTATTATATCATATAACATATATATCATATCATAACTTCTATATTTCCACAGCAACAACCTCTAATATTAGCTGATAATTATGAACACCCAATAAATCCACATATGACTCTCTCATGATGATTTATCCATAATATTTGATGTATTTATTTTTGATGTTTAATAAAAAATACTTTAATAATGAGCACTAACCATAACATAAAATGAAACGAGATAGACGAAAGTGAGACAGTCATTTTAAAAAAACAAAAAAAAAAAAACAACTGCGACGCTATCTCAGACTGAGTCCTGGTGTAGTTCTCTCTTTATCCACTGCAGGGTGCCATTTACTCAGATCTGAAGGTTTGTCTAACACAGACACGCACAGTCTGGTGTCAACACTGCAGATATGGACCAGTACAAGTGTCAATAACATATTGAACAGTGTCTAAGTAAAAAGATAATTAATGACTGGACGTAGATTGTCCCTCACAATGGTTATATTCAATGATATACAAGTTGGTAAGTTTCACCAGTGAGTAAAGTGACATTTTTATTTGTACTGTCATATTTCTCTCTCTCTCTCTCTCTCTCTCTCTCTCTCTCTCTTTAATTAATCTTTAATTCCACTACTATGGCTGAGCTGAGTCACAATTATGCATGGAGGCTTGCACTGTTGCACTTTTAAAATTTATCAATTTATGTATTTGTTTTTGTATGTATATGTATTGGCTATTTATTTTGAATAAATAAATGATTTATTACCTGATTTTGGCAAACATCCCTCTACGAAATAAGTGAAAAATGGTCTCATCCGAGGAAGGTTGCAGGCTATTTTTGGTGGATGGATAAACTTATTTTGGATAATCTAAATTAGAACCTAATTTTGGCAACTTACCCTACTTTAATTGAGCCTTGAATAATACAGTACTTGCAGCAAAAGTGGGAAAACACCTGTTAGCAGCCCCCTGAAATCTTGAAGGACATCACAAGATCATGCTGCATCACATCATCAACAAGATAAATTAAATACATGTGTAAATAAGTGAGTAAATTGAGTAAATTACATAAAATGAAAACTAGACTAAATGCCACAAAGCAGCAATGGGCCCCCATCAACAGAGTGCAGGTCACCTAAGACAGTATAGTGGAAAGTATCCTATGAAATGCTGTTCCATAATGTAAAGTTGTAAAGTACGTTGGAGTAAAAAATGAAATTAAAATAAAATTAAGTGAAATTAAATTAAATAAAAAAAATCCTGCATTCATGTTTGTAGCATGACCCTTCAGTAAAATGCACCCCCATTTGAAAAGGGGCCCCTGTCTCCTGTTAATGGATAAAATGTGTTTTTTATTATTTTATTTAATGGGTGATAATATGCTGTTCTTCAAACTCCACAACAAACAATACATAGAAGGTAGCGTTAGCGCCACTGGAACTGGATCAGAGAATATAAGATGAACATATTTCATTTGTTGCCTAAAATGTGCTGTTTCATATGTGTTAAAATAGCCATTAATAAAATAAAGAAGAAAAACTTCAATATAACAGGTGATTTCAAACTTTTGGATTTGCATTTCAGTGCATGCATTTCAGTACCACACCAGACAACGATTTCCCCCCTGTTCAAGTCATTGTAAATCACTGATTGGGCCCTCAGTGCAACATGCAGTCACCAGTATGCCTAGGCCCGTATTATCATTCTTATAATCTCCATTAATCTAATAATTTTTGTACGTACTTTAATATATTCCCCTGTACCCGATGCACACGCCTGATCCCTATCATTTAACATGGATGTGAACCTGGCCGGGGATGGGCCAGTGTTTGGATCTCCATGCGGATGTGACATTTCAGAGAGAAAAGCGCGACCGCCATTTTGAGATTTACCTCAGACTCAACACACATCACAAACCACGGGAGGAGCGGGTTGAGAGCCACACAGCTCAGGCTAACATTGTATGACCGGGCACATTCCTCACCACAAACAGGAGGTTAGCTCGAAATGCAACCAGGTGCCGCGTTTTGTCGTTTATCGTGTTAGGGCGGTTTGGGGGAATTGTTTTATGTCGGGCCGTGGCAACTCTCATCTCCGCGAACTTCCAAATTAACATCAGTGCTATTCCGTATTGGAAACTGGTTTGAATGGATAGGTTTTTCCTCCGCTCTTCCCCAGACGAGGGACAATCGGAGGAGCACACGGACTGGGGATATCGCAGGCAAAGTTGTTGAATGTGTGTCTATAGCAAATGAACCGTTGTTTTCATTGTTGTTGTACCTATATCAGCAGTTGGCTGCCTAGTGTCAGGTAGCTTAACGCTAGCTATAAACAGGGTATTTGTTCCCCAACATACAGGTCGTGCTGTGCGTTGTCTTATTGCCCCACATTTCCCGGGGTAAAGCCGGATTGATTTAGCTAATTTCAGCGGGCCTCCCTCCTCGGAGCCCCGGTCCATCCATCCCACCCCCCGCCGTCAGCCAGCGACTCGCACCCACCAAAGGCGCCGAGATTGGGCGAATAGCGAGCAAATACGTCCGCGTTTCTGTACCCGCTCCCCCGCCGACCTCCCCTCCTCACTCCCCGGCGCTGACAGCGGACAAGGCCGAGGTCGCAACAGAGCAGGCCCGGCCGCCGAGGCTCGACCTGTCCACCCCACCTCCGCATCCTACCACACCTCACCAGCAGTCCAGAACCCGGTTCCCCGCCGAGCCGACCCTGGACAAGGTCGAGGCTAACAGAGATAACAGGGAGCACCGCATCACAACCACAACAACAACAGCTGCCAACATGAACCACCACCATCACCACACGCAGCAGCAGCAGCAACAGAAAGCCGGCGAGCAGCAGCTCAGCGAACCAGAGGACATGGAGATGGAAGGTATGTAATGGTGCCAAGAAGGGTGAAGGGACACTTTACAGCCTATTTTGTCACGATTTAACTGCTGCACGTGAAATGCATGGAGTTTCATTTGTGCAAGCGGAGCTCAACTTTACAGTAAACACGAAGGCCCGAAGCTAGCTAGGATAGCCGGCTGCATTTTTGCTGATTGTGCGTCCGTTGCAGCATACTTGTGTGGAGCTGACCTCATTTTGTGTTATAAGCGAACGGAGCTTGAATTTCTCTCGGTATGCTTGCAGTAGTCGATTGCTTGTAAATAACCCAAATGAGCCGTTCAACCTCTGTCAGACATTAGCCACGGAAATCATTCATTCGTTTCGGTCACTTATTTGCAAATAAACCGTTAAGTTTTTGTTAACGGCCGTTTGCTGGAACAACTTCTCAGATGCAGTTTGCCAGATCATCGCAGTTTAAAATCAACATGCAGTCATAGAAATCCAGGCCCGCTAATTGTTGATAACCTAACGTTTAATGTTTGTAAACAGTGTGGCTGTTAGTCTGCAATTAACATGGAGCCATCGCTAGGTAAATTAATCTTGCTATGGTGCTTTGACTTCACAGTGGGCTTTAGGTTGATTTTGACAGTTATCGGCGCCCGCGTTTCTCGTCAAAGTTAGCTATTTCGTAAACAAAGTAACCGTTTGTGTCTGATAGCACAAAAATATCGCCCTTTAATAACAGCTCGACATTTAACGTTACGCCAGCCTTTCGGAAAGATAGTGTGTTAGCATCGTGTCTTGATGGTTTGTACATTAAATACGGGCCTGCAAAGTAACGATGTCGGTTAACAACAAGGTACAGTTTGTCAGTTTGACACCTAAAATGCGAAATCGGCACATTTGACCCCTCAATATGTGTAGTAAATACTTTCAATACAGAGAGTGCCGGGTGTCTGTTTTATTGCTGTGTGTCCTCATTTAGCTGGTAAAACGCAGTGTACATTGCTAACGAGACAGCTAATTTTAAGCTAGCCAATTAGCCCCGGGGCCCGCTTCTTTGCGTTCATTCGGCGGCTAGCATGCTAGTTAGCTGGTCGGCTAACACTCACGGAGGGGGTGTGTGGCGTTCCAAAATGGTGGCTTGTATTTTGCAACGTTCGATTCAGCTACTGCCTGAATGTTAGGCCTTGAATATTAGCTTCACGCAATGTAGATTGTTTCCCCCCTTTGCCCTAATTGCTGTTTAGCGGTATAATGTACCAACTCTGGGTGGTATTTTTTTGTTTAGCATTAATTTAAGCGTGTTAGCTTGTACTTGTGATGCCAGCTAATGTTGGCTAATAACGGCCTGCAGATGAATATGTGTGCGGCTAGTGTTGCTACATAGCTAGGTTGCTAACGCAGATGCGTCAATCGTGATTTGCTAAATTGTGTGCTGTAACAAGTTTAGTCATGCTGCCAGAGCAGACGACAATGTGTCAGACTGAATGTAAATCAAGCTTTGGATTAGTTGTTTGCTAGTTTATATGTTGACGTTTGGCAGTGTTATGTCAAACAGCAGTGTTGGCAAGTAACGGTAGTCGCCGCTGCGGTAAGCCAGGCCCGCACAGAGGCAGCGCGGGGATTTGCTGCTTCATTGTATGGACGACCAAACGGCATGGAGCTCGCCATTTTTAATGATCTGTGTTTTTGTTAGTCAGCTTTGTAGTCAGGGCCACCTATGTTAGCGTTTAGCAAGCGATTCACACACTGAACATCTGCCCTAGTGTTTTATAAAGTTTTTATTAATGTCAACTTTGGGCAGAGTGGAGGCTTTGAGGGAGCCTTCAGCATCACTGCGTCATTTACTCCCAGGGATTTTATTATTTGCTCACACACACATTTCTGCTTATTATCCGGCTTCACACAATATACAGCATATCTTATTTAATTACACAAAAGAGCAATTAGAAACAGCCCCAGGTGTCATTTATATTTTTTAATCGTCCGTTTTTATACTTGTGGTACTACTAGCAGGTGCACTCACCAGACTTCCTTACCCCTTAGTTGCTGGTTCACCCTTCTTGGATTCCCTCCCAGTGCACTGCAGCCTTACAAGGACATTGAAAACAAGTTGACACAATAAACTGCTTTTTTGTCTGACTGCTCATAGCAACAGATACCAAATTTGCTTCATGGCGTGAGGGTCTGTACACTTGCAGTGGGGTTAGTCCATCATCTGCTCTGCATATCTAAGTCATTTTATCTGTTTTCCACAGCAAAATATGCCAGGCTGTTGCTACCACGCAATCAATCTAGTGGTTATGCCTGTAGCAGCTCCTCAAACATGTCAGAAATGAATTGAAAACAAACAGTATGTTATTTGTCAAGGGATATCTCATGAAACCCAAGTTGTCTAATAGGACACGATTAACGACTAAGATGCTATTGAAATCATAAAAGGTATAATTCCAGTTATATTATTTGTCTTAGGGGTTTTTTGTACTGTAGAGAAACACAATTGATGTCTGATGCATCAAACAGCATTTCAGCATCTTAGTGCCAAGTCAGTGTAACAGTATCAGCTGTGTTGTTATAACCTTGTTGCTCTAGGTTAAACACATCTGGAGTTGTTTTTCTCTTTGCCCAGCATACAGTTGTCTCATGGGAGAAAATTCGTCTTGATGATGATGAGGACTTTTATTTGCTGCTTTCCCCCTACAGGCGATGGACTTTAAATCATAGGAAAGATTAGAATATGAGATAAAGAGATGTGTTTATACTTTATGTTTACTGTTACTGTTGTAGTGCAACAATAGCGGGTATTCAGATCAATTACTCTGATGCTTCCTGTAAAAATATCCTGTGTTGAAATGCTTGTGATATTCCTCTTCCAGACACCTTCGTAGTTTGAGTGACAGGAAGTTCTACATTAAACCTTCAGGCATTTTTCTCCAATATGAAATTATTGGCACTCCATCCAGCTCCAGCTCGTGCAGATTTCAGTGATCCATTAGGATGTACTTCTCAGAGGTTTCAGGATAGACTGACGGAGTAGGCGGGACAAGAAGTTGTCATGGAGTTGACTGACAGACCCCATTAGCAGGGCGTAATCCACTTGAGGAAAGGAGGTCAGCCTCCTGTAGGACTCGGTCAGTAACGTTACCTGGAGATACACACACACCACTGACACCATTGCGTCTGTCAGCACGGGGGAAGACAAGGATCAGAGATCCGTATGAAATACAGTGTAAGAGACAGACTGACACATCAACACATTTGGAGACATATGCCTGAGTGCTCATATCAGTGCTGTCGTTACTCTCAAGTCTGGCTTCTGTTGCGTCATTGTCATCATCACAGGATCCAGACAGATTTCACTCACTTCCTTGAAGTCCACGCAAAGCTCCTCTGTTCCACAGTGTTTTGATAGACGAGACCGTGCATCGAGCCGCCTCATTATTCGGCTGGGATAATTGTTGTCCCCTGCGCGCGTGTGTTTTTGTTTGAGCGATGACTTGCAGCCTAATCCTGCATTGTGTCCATAATTACCCGGCCTACTGTAATGTCGCATGGTCTTTGTCGCGCGCGCGCGCACACACACACACACACACACACACACACACACACACACACATTCTGTCTGCGTTGCCCTCTCGCTGACACACAGACTGGGAAAGAAGACTTGTCATGCTGTCTCAGCAGGGTTTTCCCAGTGAAAGTATGAGAGGGGAGAGGAAGGATCACCGTGTGTGGAGATGCCAGAGATAAAGATGAAAATAGTAGTTGCGGAATTGCTTTTTTGCTTTTTGATACAAAAAAGTCTGATCTTAGTTGATGCTGTTTTTGTGCTTTGCGCTGATTATGAGATTATAAATCTGTCCTGCTCTTTAAAGCGTGCATATATTCACAGAATCCTGGCAAAACAAGCTTTATGAGAACATAATCTAGCAGATTGTCTGTTGTAGTTACAACTTTTAGTTTTAAATGGTAATTACTTTTGCTCAATTATGACTTGTAAACATGGAAGAAAATGAACACAAATGTGATAGGAAGCCTTTTGTGTGGCTTTTTTTATGGCTCGATGGCATATTGTATTGATTTTGATATGATAGTTTGACATTTTGTAACCCCTCGTTGCTGACCTGAAGTCATATAGTTGGCAAAACTGAAGAATTTGTCTTTACCTTAATATATAAGTTAGAACCCTTCAGACTTATCACATTGTTTCTCTCTTTGTACAGCTGGGGACACAGACGACCCTCCAAGAATCCCGGCCAACCCGGTGATCAATGGTAACGTGGCCATGGCAGATGGACACAACAACACAGAGGAGGACATGGAGGATGGTGAGGATGATGTTCTCTTACACTGTAACAAACACTTGGCTTATTTGCTTGTTTGGAAGCTTGTGCTGTGAAAGTAATTGTCATAATCCAGGTTTAACATCATCCTGTGAATTACTCAACTTAATTGGCTGTGAAGTCGTTAGTCTCCAGTTGCACCTGGGCTTGTCAGTGAGAGCTGGAGGAAAATTGTTCACTGTTCACAATCTAACCTGCCCCCCCTGCTTTCTTACTGTGTCCCTCCATCTTTCCAAAGACACCAGTTGGCGGTCAGAGGCGACTTTCCGCTTCGTTGTAGAACGCTTCAGCCGCCTGAGTGAGTCTGTGCTCAGCCCGTCCTGCTTTGTCCGAAACCTTCCATGGAAGATAATGGTGATGCCGCGCTTCTATCCAGACCGACCACACCAGAAGAGCGTGGGCTTCTTCCTGCAGTGTAACGCAGAATCAGACTCCACGTAAGTGTCCTGGTGGGACGAGGGATTTAGGGGACACTGCAGAGACACACAGGCCACATCCACACAAATACTACTAATCTCTGTACACAAAAACATTTAAGCACCATTTTAGAAATAATCTCTGTCTATACTAACCACCTGAAAACACCTGACTGTTGATGTACACTGGGCATGCAAATGACTGTCCACTCTGCAGATGGTTGCTTCTTTACAGAAAATATGACAAAGATGGCGAAAAGTAAGACCAGAAATTTCCTTGCTTAAGCTTGACAAGATGGAACTTTTTACTGAAAATATCCATTGTCAGAGGCGGCCATGGTGATAGGAAAGAAGGATAAAATCATAAAGTATGCAGACCTAGCTAGAATGTTGTGTTGTTGTGACAGATAAGATCTAATCAGCATGCAAACGTGGGTGTCTACGTCATCGTTTTCAAAGGTTTCTCATGCTCCTTTAATGCCACTTTCTGTACACAGTCAGTTTGAACATTAGACACTATTAGCTGAGGACATACACTGCAATTAAACATTGACATAATAGCGCAAGTATAAATTGCTACCTTCCCTAGCACTAAAAGTAAGAGGACAAAATATGTTTTTGATTTTGGGACGAACTGTCCCTTTAAGCATCCCCACAGCATGATACTGCCACCATGCTTCATAGTTGGCATGTGTTGTTTCTGTGTGACCTTCGGATCATTTCAAACGTAGTAGAAAGCCCAACGTTGGTCTCATCAGACCATCAAACCTTCTTCCAAATTGACATACCCTCCCACATGCCTTCATGCAAACAATAGCCCAGATATCATAATAGGTTTTTCAACAGTTTCTTTCTCTTTGCTGCAACTAGTGAAGCACCAGTGTAACAGTTTTCTTAGCCATGTGACCCCGCAGCTCCTTCAAAATTGACATAAGCCTCTTGGCATCTTCCCTCACTAGTGTTTGTTACACACAGACACTTGACAAGGAGGGCGGCCAGCTCTTCAGAAGTTCACAGCTTTGACATATCCTTTCTTTTTAGGGATATCTTTCTGTCCTCTAATTGGCACTTTTTCAGTAACCTTGTCTGGGTGTATTTGGGGCAGGCTTTTGTCTTTATGATGGCTTTTGGCCAGGAAACTGAAAGTTGTTAGACCTTCCAGATGTCAAAGCTTGATTACACACAGATGATCTCCAACTAAATAAGAATGCAGTTTCCAAAAATGTTTGGCTGCTTTGATGGCGGTGTGTTTATGTAGATAAGATGAATACTTGTGCAGGTGGTTTATTTTGTATTTGGAATTTACTTTGAATTCAATTTGTAGAAACATTGTCTTTTTGGATGTTTTTCCTTTTTTTTAGACTTCAGCTCACTTTGATTTCATTGCAGACAACAATCATAATGACCTCATCTTCTGGTACACTGTATACCTCTCTTTTGAGTCAGAAGGTATTCTTTAAAGCCACCAGCAAAATACAAGAAAGTAATAGATATTAGCTGTTGGGGACCCATGACCTTGTCTTTGCTTTTTGATCACAGTATTGGTTACTGTGTCAGCTTGTTGTTTGTTTTGCGACATACTAGATGCAATAAATCAAGGTCACAGTTCACTAACATGGTCTTTTGTTTTAGCAATATCAAAGCGCCATTGTTTAAAAATGTATCAGCTGCTTTATGCATTGTTGAACGGTGTCCAAAACCTACTGGCTGTGAATTTATTTGAGCTGGCCTCACATTAATTACATTTTATGTGAAACACAAGATCAGGTTTATAATCTCTAATGAATGGCAACAGAATCTAAACTAGATAACGCTCAGTCAGACGGCTCATTCCTCATCCATGCCTGCTGAATTCCTTAACAACAGAATGTGTTAAATCTCCAGCTAGATCCAGATCTGTATCAAAAACTCACATTATGGGATTTGCTTGAATTTGCTTTTTCAATTAAGTATGGTTGTTCATGAGCAAGTGGTTTAATAAAGATTTCTTGATTCTGTTATTCCAGGTCATGGTCGTGCCACGCGCAGGCCATGCTCAAGATCATCAACTACAAAGACGATGAGAAGTCTTTCAGCCGCAGGATCAGTCACCTGTTTTTCCACAAAGAGAATGATTGGGGCTTCTCCAACTTCATGTCCTGGAGTGTAAGTACACACACTGACAGAGCTATCGATGGTAGCTTTATTTTAATTGCCAGATCCATTTTTCAGATGGGACAAGAGCCACCAAAGAATAATTGGCTTTTCCGTTTGAGAGCTTTTTAATTTTTATGTACCATAGCGCTATTTGCTCATTGTCTTTTTGGATCTCTTAATCATAAATAAAGGTAAAAATATCAGTAAATGCTTTTACCTCTACCCATTCCTGTTGATATGAACTGTTTGGTGGTGTGTTACAGGATGTGACTGATCCAGAGAGGGGCTTCATTGATGACGACAAAGTCACATTTGAAGTCTACGTCCAGGCAGATGCCCCACATGGAGTGGCGTACGTAGCCCCTTGTTTTTTCTCTGGGGTCTTTTTGTTCTGGCTTGGGTTTTCTACAGTTTTATTTTTCGTGTTTGGGGTTTATGAATTCTAACAGTAACATCTCCTTTCTCTCTGTTACCAGATGGGACTCTAAGAAACACACAGGCTACGTTGGACTAAAGAACCAAGGAGCTACGTGCTACATGAATAGCCTGCTACAGACACTCTTCTTCACCAACCAGCTACGAAGGGTATGGTTTTATCTCTTTGTGTGTCTTTGTATGAGGTGCAGTGTGTTTAACATTTTAATGCAGTGGCTTTAGCTGAGCAGATAAATGATGTGTATTACATGTGTAAATATGGACTAGCGCTTCAGTTGAATGTTCATGTGTGTTTATACCTTTTGTCCACATGTTGACATGTGTCACAAATGTTGAAGGCCATCCTCAAATATAGCAGCGTTTTTTCTTGTCCAGTAAAAAAACAGGAAAATCTGTTAAGTCTCTCCAGTAATAATATACAGTGGAAATAATTTCCCTTAGACATTGTTTCCTAACAGAATTTTGCTTCGAAAGCTCCAGAATGGACGGGGAACATATGATTCTTGAAGTTAAAATGAGGAGTTATCTATATGATACCTCCTTATTTCACAACAAAAACAAAATTAGGTGGCAGATGCCCAGTGGGAGATCATTAGGGAGCTGAAAGTTTCTGGTAAATGACCATCGCTTAGAACAACCTACTTGCTGTTGGCTAAATTGTGTGTCATTTTGGTGATTATCATCATATAAAACATGTGTTTTCTGTTCTAAAAGTACAAACATTGGAAGATAGCAAGTGCTTGCCCATCTTTTAAGTGGTTACGTCTCCAGTCTGATCTCAAGAGCACAGCTGTTAGGGATGTGGTTTGTTGACGTGACATAACAGAAGTAGCCACAGTGAAGACATTTTTCCACCAGTTAATAAACTCATGACAACATCAGTGTTACCACTTAAACCAAATGTTTGATGTTGGTCGCTGATGCTCACCATAGAGCGATATAATAAGTTACTGCTGATGTAAACCAAACATTCCCTGCTGCTTCCGCTTCACATTAAAAACATGCAACTGGTGAAACACAAGTTGACTTAGGAAATACAGTGTGTTTGTCAGTGAGATTAGCACTACTGCTGTTGTTCATCAAAAATGCATTTGCAAAACAAGACAGCTGTCTTTTTCGGCATTTGTTGACAGCGATATTGCAGGGAGTAATAGAACAAGAATGGGCAGTCACAGTGAGCTGCAAGATGAAGAACTGCACACTTCCAGCTTCATAGTGATCTAAGCAACCTCTTTTCCCTCATTAAGATTATCTAGTTCCCAGTAAGCATTGGGTTAAAATCTGAAATACTGCTAAACAGGTGCATGTGCTTTTCAACTTGACATCAAATCCTCTGGCATCGTCTTGTCAGTCAACTCTCCTTACTCGTGTCATTTGATAAATCTGACTCATGCTACTTTGTACACTGACATTCACAACTTGCACGTATGGTGTAAAATTCTCCCCTGTGTGTTGTGGCTTTTCCCATTAGTATGAGTACTTGTTAATGTCACTCTACAGCTGCTGCTGATTCTTCTTGTTGCACTGATATCATTGCACCACTATCATATAGTTTCACTGAGACCCTTTAAAGGAGCAATGTGTAGGATTTAGTTGTATCTAGCAATGAGGTTGCAGACAACAGACAACTAAGTAAATACCTCTCTGCTCGAGCACCCTTCCTTTTCCAAGTGTGTCAGAGAACCTACGGTGGCCATCAGGTAATGTAAAAACATGAAAGGCCCACTCTAGAGCAAATGTTTGGCTGTCTGTTCAGGGTTACTGTAGAAAGACGGGGGTGCAGCATGGCAGACTCCATGGTAGAGTACCCACTCTCCATGTAGCTATGAAGGACTGGAAGACGCAACGATTCATAGTTGTGAATATTATATCTGATTTCTGCCAATTTATCCCCTTGAAATCCCACACACTGCTCCGTTAATTCACCATAGTCTTTTTTCATAGCTTTATTCAGCAGGAGCTCTAAAGTGACTTGTCATGAAAATAAAGTTTTTAAATGTTGTGAAATTCTTCACAAACAGTGAGAATCTGTAACCTCCATCTGACAGTATCACTGTCTAAAACTAATCCTGGTGTGACTCTCTCCCCAGGCGGTGTACATGATGCCCACAGAGGGAGACGACTCGTCCAAGAGCGTTCCCCTGGCACTGCAGAGGGTTTTCTACGAGCTGCAACACAGTGACAAACCTGTTGGCACCAAGAAACTCACCAAGTCCTTCGGGTAGTGTAGACTTTCTTAATTGACAGCTCACCTTTCTTTTGTCTGACTCAGCCGGAGGCGAGAATGGGAAGTAAAGCAAGTATTTATTAGGGGTGTAAATCACAAGTTTCTTCACAATACAATATTGATTCTTTAGACAATGGTATGATATTTGCTAATATCACAAAGTCTGCCACAGTACTGTTTCTATTCGATTCAGGATATTGCCTGATGTTCCACGATTTGGTTTTGACGAGTCAGTGCACGCTTGTAATGCTGGGACCAGACGATTTTTTGTAACTTTAAGACTGTTGAATATTATTTTTAGTAGAATTTTAAGTGGTTACCAGCCTTTGTAGCTCCTGCTCAGTGAGGATTGTATCTAACTGCTTTGCTTTGTTTTCTTTTTCCTCTGTGAAGATGGGAAACACTAGATAGCTTCATGCAACACGATGTACAGGAGCTGTGCAGAGTGGTGAGTTCTCTCATCCTCTCTTACAGAATGTGAATGTGTATACATGCTGAATAATGACTGACTTACTAAGTGTGTGTGTGTGTGTGTGTGTGTGTGTGTGTGTGTGTTGCAGCTCCTGGACAATGTGGAGAATAAAATGAAAGGCACTTGTGTCGAGGGAACCATCCCCAAGCTCTTCAGAGGAAAGATGGTGGTAAGTTTTCTCTCTCTTTACCTCTTCCTGTCTGACTTGTACTGAAGCCCTGAAAGGCAAGAGAGATTTATTTTTCTGCTGATCGTTTGTCCACTTTTTTAATTTTATGTTTTTGTTATGTTTTGTTTGTTTTTTAGCTTTTTTTCACAAATGGGGAAAAATGAAAAACAACGAATTTCACACTTGCCTCTCAGGGTTTCGACTTGTCCTCATGGTTGCGGTCACATTTTGTGTAGTTCTTAAAAAAATTCATCACGTTATAAAAACATAACTTTAGTGAGAATTGTACTGTTTATTTATTGAAGGTAGAGTACACAGTAATGCCAGTTTAGCATGAATCATGTCAGTGAGGGCGTCTAACTGAGCACAGGATGTAGCCTGGAACAAGGTCAGTTTAAGAATAGAAGGAGGTTAAATCAAGAAGTGACCCTCTTAGAAATCATATTTTTGACTTGCCAACTGTATCGTACAATCTGACCTCTGTGTGTGTGTGTGTGTGTGTGTGTGTGTGTGTGTGTGTGTTACTCTCTAGTCATATATCCAGTGCAAGCACGTGGACTACCGGTCAGAGCGGATAGAGGACTACTACGACATCCAGCTTAGCATAAAAGGAAAGAAGAACAGTGAGTAGCAACATCGAAACAACTCCTTGGCTTTGCTCACACAGTGGAACAGTGGTGCTGCACCATCAGTAAATGTTTTCACGGGATTGCGTCGCTTTAATCGGACTTTTCACCCTGACATTCACTGTAATGACCTCAGGCTGGTGTTATAATGGGCTCCTTAGGAGAACATACTGCGACTCTAAGTCCCTCATTCCTTCTGCTGTCAGGCTGCTGAATGCTGACAGGAGTCATTTTAAGGGAATTATTTTTGGCCCATTTATATATTAATAGACCATTTAAAACTTCATAACATAAACATTCTATAAATGGGTCCCTCTGTGTTTCCTGTTGCGATGTTTAATACAGTAGCTGACAGGATGAAAACAGGGACTAAAGCTGTCCCTCTAGCAACAGAAGCAATGAAACGGTCTATATTATATTTATTAGGGGTGACCCTGCATAGTTGACTATTAAACGATTAGATCTGAGGAGCCTAATTCGACTGTCAATCTGGCAGTCATATGTTGCAAGCACAGGAAAATGAGATTATGTAATAGAGGATAAATCCATTCAGGCCCTGTGGGAGCACTGAGTGTTTGATTTTTATTTTAGGTACAATTGCTTGGTTTCTTTCAATATATTGTAGCATTTTTAAGCATAGATATATTAATCAGAGCACTCACAGGAGCTTAGCACATGCTCAATATTTTTGGAACTTATGAACAATTTTCTGTTCAAGTTTGAAACCTCCCCCGGACCAAACAACCAAACCTTGGTCAAATGAAAAAATGGGGGGTATCGGTCCAGATCAAACTGAATCATGGTCGGGTTTGTTTTTAGTGTAAAAACAGTTTTCGAATGGTTCTGACTTTAAAACCAATTATAGGAAGTTTTCACAGGCTATCATCGAGTAATGAGAGCAGCGCAGCACTTCAGTGTGTTGTGTGTGTATGTGTGTGTTTTAACACCAGAGAGGGTGACAAGGCTGCGCTCAGAGCAGGCAGGTGTCGGCAATCGGAGTAGAGGAGAAATTAGCAGTTGTCAAGTAAATGTACAGCGTAGGTTTCAGTTTGTCCATGAACAATGCAACATAACAAAATGAGCAGTGGTAGCACATGAAGGAGACAGCTTTGGAAAAACTCCCAAAATCTCAGACGCCTTTCAGTTATTTAGAGAGAGGACAACAGCCCATCTACAAACCAGTCAATGTAGAATGAGACGCAGCTAACTAAGGTGATGGCGACAAGACGTAGGTATGACATGTATAGTCTTCAGTGCAGTGGGTCGCAGTCCAAAAGTGGGTTGAAGGTCCATTCTGAATGGACCACAAGTGACTCGCAAATGTGTTTGTAAAAAACACTTTATTTTGCAGTACTGGCATAGAGCTTTTATTTTTAAGTGCCATTTCCTGCTATTGATTGAGTGACTAATGGACAGCTACTTAACAGAGACAGCAAACTAGCTAGGTGACGGGGCGGCAGTAGCTCAGTCCATAGGGACTTGGGTTGGGAACCGGAGGGTCGCCTGTTCGAGTGTGTGTCTTTCGGACTTGTGTGTTAATGACAACGGAGTGAAAAAATTGAATTTCCCCTCAGGGGGATTAATAAAGTATATAAAATAAAAAAATATGGCCAAACCTGTGTATGACGCTGAATGTATTAAACTGTGTGGACCTCTAAATAATGACTGAGGAGAAATCTGGATCCCGGGGCTGCACCAGTTGGGATCCACTTGCATCATTGCAGTGTGAAATCTGACTTGAACTCTCAGGTGTGAAAGGGCCTGAAGAGAGAGTCTGAAGGTTTGTTTACAGCCACGGCAAGCAAACAGGAACCGAACTAAGTGACACTGTCCGTCCGTCGGTCCATCTCCTCTGCTTCCTCTTAATACTATGGACAGTGATGCTGCCACACACGCACACCCCCAACACAACAAACAGCAATGTGTTGAATGCTTCCTGCTACAAATTCAATTCTGAAGCCAAATCAAAAAGAAAAATAGTTTAATTGTGCCAACTCTTTTGTCTGTTGTTAAAAAAATGGAAACTAATGTCGCAAATGAGAATAGGCAACACTTGATAAATGAGATTCGACTGTGTACAGTGTCTAATAGTTATAGAAATGTGTGTGTCAGCAGACATCTGAAATGACTGTTACACTGGGTTATTTATATGATTGTTTATTTTATTTACCTCTGCTCATTGTTACCTGGTATTGACCCTTGTTTCAAATCCGTGCCTTTGAGGTTTTGGATGCTGTATGTAGGGACCAGATAAGCTGCAAATGAGTTGCTCTTTTTGGGACCAGAAAAGTTGCCTCACTCTAAATATATTTCCTCACACTATAAAAATATGTATTTCCTGCTGCAAGAGTCTGTTCACTGCTATTTACACTATATAAGAAATGGACAGCTTTCCTATATATAAACTTAAATATTTTCATCTGTCAGTAGTTATATTTTTAACTAATATGGATTTTGTCTTGATCTCATCTGTGCCTTCTGCTCATTTCCAGTCTTCGAGTCATTCAAAGATTATGTTGCAACCGAACAGCTAGATGGAGACAACAAATACGACGCAGGAGAGCATGGCCTGCAGGTGAGGCTTCGCAGTGCCTGGATCTAAATTATTTATGTGTCTTTTTGTTCTAGTTTATTTCAGTTTGCTTACATTAAGTGTTATGTTTTGTTTGTTTCTCATTAGTATTTAAGTCATGTCATTAACTGCTAATTACGTTTGTTTTGCTCCACAGGAAGCAGAAAAGGGGGTGAAATTCCTCACCTTCCCTCCAATCCTCCATCTGCAGCTGATGAGGTTCATGTATGACCCACAGACCGACCAAAACATCAAGATTAATGACAGGTAGAACAGAAATACCTCCCTTCACTCTCACACAGCTGTCACTGCATGTTCATTCTTGTAATTGACTTGCTTTTATATAACAGGGTGTCTGTAAATAAGCTATCGTTTGGATGTTGCAACCTAAGATTACAGGAATTTCTTTAGAAATAAAATACATACATTTTATAAACCTAAATATGAGGTCATTATCTACCGGTGGTCCCCGGTGAACTCCGTGCCATACTCCTGACACTGGCGCCTTTGCCAGGTAACAGCGGCGCATAGAGCTGTCAGAGAGCCAGAGGTGAAAGCGGGTAGGCGGGTCAAGTGTCAGATCTGTGATGAGCGCAGGAACAAAAACACAGACACTTGACTGATAGTGTGATAACAACATCCAAAACACAAGGTTATCTCTCAGTGGTTTCTGTAACATGGGAAATCTTTTCAAAGTTAGTGACACAACACCAGTGTTTAATATAAGATAGAATAAGATGGTGTCCCCCCCAAATATGACAATAGTGAGTTTACTGCATCCTTTCAATTTGTTATTCTTCAGGGTCGAGGTGAAATTATGTTTTGAGAGTTTTAACCTTATATGTTTGAAACGGCGGGCAGGTGCCGGCAAAAATTATTACTGGTCCATGAAAGTCATGGAAAAGTTTTGACATTTTGTCCATGAAAATGTGTGGGAACCTGTTAGAGATGGTGTGGCCAATATTGCCATAAGTTAAAGGAGCAGGCTATTTCCAGAAACAGCACTCGATCCTGTGTCATCTGAACAGCACACTTTGACCTCCTGCACCAAGACGGCGAGAAAGTGAGTCAGTGAGAGTGTTTCCTGTAGGACGTATCATTCTGCGTAAAGCTTTGAGCGAGCTAATGGTGTTTTAATAATCCGCCACGATAATGGGACACTTTCAGAACACACACACACGCGCGCAGCCATCCAGAATAGCTAATTTTTTCTTTTCAACAAACTCTGAGTCATCCTTGTGACGCTGCCACTGGCACCTGGCCCCCTGAGGGCTTTGTATGCATGCGCACGCACACACACACACACTCACACACACACACACACACACACACACACACACACACGCACACTGCAGTGCCACTTTACCTTGAATCATGAGCTTAATTCTTGCTTTTTTTCTCGTATGAATGTTCCTCCTCTCAATATTTGACCCATTTCAATCCTCTTTTTTTCGACCCTTTCATTCATCTTATCTTTATTTCTGCCTCCCCCTCTCTTTTTTGTCCTCTTGCCTTTCTGTCCCATTTTCTCCTGCCTGTCATCTCCTTTTCTCCCCACTCTCTCCCCCCTGCCTCTCTCATCCTTGTATTCCATCTTCCCTTTCTCCCTCTTCTTACATGTCCCCTTAATCGCTCCTCTCTGCTTCTCTTTCCTCCTCTTTTTCTCCTCTGTAGGTTTGAGTTTCCAGATCAGTTACCTCTGGATGAGTTCCTCCAGAAGCCAGACTCCAAGGACCCAGCCAACTACATCCTGCACGCCGTGCTTGTGCACAGCGGGGACAACCATGGCGGTCACTACGTCGTCTATCTTAACCCAAAAGGAGACGGCAAAGTGAGTGTCAAGGAACCAATAGTGAGGACAATTTTTTTTTATCCACCTTACACCAAAAATTCTGTGGGCATGGTTGGGGTTTCTGCTCTCATAATACTGGTGATAAACTAACACGCGGGTGCTCAGCTTCCTTAGATATGAGATCTTCTGTGTCATGATGAGTGAACTTCATTTGATATAATGGACTTCTGCACTGAGATCATCTACCATATTTGCGCATATATATATTATACGCAGGAAGAATTTCTGCATAGAGTTTTTATGAAGCAGGGATGGGCATTTTAAGTTTCCTCCTTACTCCAGTACTTGCAAATTATTATAGAGTATTTGAGTACTTGGGGAAGAATGAGTCTAATCTAAGAATAGCAAAGTAAATTGGCCAACAATGGAATACAAGTGCAATTTCTAATTCAGATATTGATCTACCAGGCTTTAATTAGCTTTAAATTTGAAGTTACCGTAACCCCCCCCCCCCCCCCCCCCCCCCCCCCCCCCCCCCCCCCCACCTCACCATCTGTTCCCCGATTTGGAGTCTTTTTAGTGTGTCACATTTGCCATCACAGACAGGCCAGAAACAGGCTAGTTAACAGTAGAAAGCATCAAGGAGCCTGGTGAAAACTTTACAGTGTTTACTTCTTTTTGCATATCTCTTACTCAGTCTTGCTTTCAAGCTCGGTGCAGACTCATTTGGACTGATGTTTGAGTGCTGCTTGGGTTGAGAAGGACGGTATTTTGTGGTGGTGTGTCATTGCATTTCACCAGTAAGGGGCTAAAATTAGCGCATGTTTTCATCAATGCTGATCAAAGCTGTGACTACTGCAGAGTCATTTGACCTGGATGTGAATGCCGATTGTAACCTTTCCCAGAGGCTTTTTCATGCTGTAAAAAAGGGCTGTTGACATGTGGGAGGTTGTGCTGTGATTACTCTATATATTAATACTGACATCCAATTGAAGTACTGGAGTAGACATGCCCATCCCTATTATGTAGACCTTAGAAATAAGAGCTAAAATAATGGATAAGCAGAAACGGTCAGTGCTAAAGAATAATGTCAAATAGGTATATATGTTCTGTCCATAGAACATTGTCATTTTTCTGCTTCTGGCTTTTAAAAATAGATGCCACAGCTAAGATAAAGAAGTAGCTGCCAGTTCTTTAGTGACAAAATATTCCAAAAATATAAAACAAGGTGTTGAAAACCAGGTGAAGCACTTGCTGAGCTACCTACTCAGACTCAGGGTTTTACAAATAAGCCAGATAAGCTACTTAAAAGAAGACCAGAATTAGCTACATAGTAGGATAAAGTTTGCAGCTCATAAACATCCTTTAACATTTTTATTTCTCTAAGGAAAAGCCCACATGGTGTACCTTTTAAGCATTTTAGCTCAGTCCTCATATTGTCTGTTTTTTCCACACACAAAAATTAAATGTACAAATCCCAAGTAGTCGTATGTCTAAAACCTGCTTACACACCCACTCTCCAGTGAGCTCATGACTCTCACACACGCATTAAAGTGACGTCTGGAGTTTAATTTATGATTGATAGAAAAGGTTGGCTGGTTGAGCACCCCTGTGCTAGTTATCCTTTTAAGGGGAGGTCAATGGGAAGTTTATGGATATTACACCATAAAATGATATGGGGAAATGAGTGTTGGTTTTTAGCATTATTCATTTGCATGCCTTGGGGTTGATTTAAAGCCTGACATAAATGGTTGTCTTAAGTGTCTTCTGGTTTTCTCCCATCTCCTTCCCTGGCTTCTCTTTCCCTCTTCTCCTTATCCTCCTCTTTCTCGCCTCTCCTCCTCCTCATCTCTCCTTTAACCGCACCCTCCCCTCCATCTTGTCTATCCCTCTCTGTCTTCAGTGGTGTAAGTTCGATGATGACGTGGTGTCGCGGTGCACCAAGGAGGAGGCCATAGAGCACAACTATGGTGGACATGATGACGACCTCTCAGTGCGCCACTGCACCAACGCATACATGCTGGTCTACATCCGCGAGTCCAAGCTCAGTAAGTAACACACAACCTCTCCCTCTGCCTTTCTGGCTAATATTACCAGAAGCTTGGGCTTAAGAGACTGTCCCATAAGTACATGAATGATTCTCCTCAAGTGCCCGCGCTAATCTGTCCTTAAGTACAACACTTCATAAATATACAGGGTAGTGTAATTCCTGTTTCCAGTTCTTTCTGCCTTACTGACTACATCAAACACAAATGTTACTGTGCTGCACTCTGTCTGCGAGGTGATACTCACTCCCTCTCTCTCTCTGAACCAGGCGAGGTGCTCCAGCCGATGACTGACGTGGACATCCCCCAGCAGCTGGTGGAGCGTCTGCAGGAGGAGAAAAGGGTGGAGGCACAGAAGAGGAAGGAGCGCCAAGAGGCTCACCTCTACATGCAGGTCCAGGTAGGAAACCACAACGGCTGTTCGAGTGCACTTATGTGTTGCGATGCTTTGCAGACTTTGCTGTTGCTTTAAGAGTATACATCTGCCATTTTGGCTTCACGTTTCACAGAGTGGAAGGTGCAGTGGGAATCTGGAGGCTGTCCTGACATTGTTGTTGCAGTGCTGTAAAGTAGCTGAAGCAGTGTAGCACTAATGGTGCCAAACCAGCAGATTGGGAGCTAGCAGGCTTTGGTCTTACATACTGTGTGTGAGGGATGTGCTGCTCATTACATTAAGTCTGCAAGAGTGCATAATTACTAAGAGTTAGAATTGAGATGGGACTTAATATATGTTGTGTACAGCTTGTTGAGATCTCGACTGTTTAACACGATTACTCATTGATTTTGGAACATACATACATTTATTGAAAAAGAACTTTTGTCTCTGGATTTTCTAGAACATAAAACTTTAACTGAGAAAATGAGAAAGAAATGTCAACAAATATACATGCCACATGTCTGTTGTGTTGGCAGAGTATTCAGCTGTACAGGGCAGGCAGTGTAACTCTGGTGAAATGGTGATGCATTGGCATCATGTAACACCTGTCCAAAGTGTTTACCAGTTTTATAAATCCCTTGTTCCTCGCAGTGCTCATTGGCCACGTGTCTTTTGCGAGAAGTCTGTGATGGTATCTGTTATTTCATCATATCTTTAAGAGCTGTATGGGCAGGCAGTTGTATTATAAATAGTGTCCTTAATCGATGACTTGTGTTGCGGTGGAAGAAGTCAAGGTCTCTTTATGTTTCACTGTATTTTGCTCCTTTATTGTTTGGGTCATAAACCACTTTGTGATTTGATTTAGTATGACTAAGCAATTTGGTCAGATTGTCTCGTAGAGTGGACAACACGGTGCATGAAATTTTGCACAGTATTTGTTGTTGTTCGTCGTTGGACTTCTTGAAAGCAAAGTGCTTCCAGATAGCAGAAACGTTTTAACTAGGGCAGTCTAATTAATTACATGCTCCACCCAAACTGGTCTGCAGTCCATTTTGTAAGGGTGTAGTTAGTTGGTCACAGGTAGACTTGGAGGCCGTTTACACGTACACGGTGATTTTGATAAACGGAGACATCTTCCTTCGTTTGTGCCCTTCGTTTACACGCAAACGGAGATTTCTCCTCTGAAAACGAGTCTTTCTAAAAACTCCTGCCAGAGTGGAGATTTTGGAAAACTCCGGTTGCGCGTTTGCATGTAAACTGAGATAAACGCAGATAAACGGAGTTATAGGCAGCCCACGTCACAGTATGCGCTGGAACTTGCGCCTGTGTAAAAAGTGCGACCTATGTTGCTATGGTGACAATGGATACATGGAAGGCTTGAGCTTCTCGTTACACTGCCACCTACAGGTTTGGCATGCTCTTGTGTATATAAACACGGGTAAGTGTAAACGAAGATCTTTTTGAAAACGGAGACGGTGAAATGTCCGTTTATGAAAATAGCCGGCAACGTGTAAACGGCCTCTTGGTTGCATCTGAACTCCTGGTTGAGTGTGGCTTGACGAGGCTGGCAGCTACCGCTAGCATCAGAGGCTGTGCTAGCTTGGACCTCCGGGGTTGCTGCTAAATGCTTTGCGTTGAGGTGATATTTCAGGCTTGAACTACTTCGATGGTACGAAAATTCCTTACTGCAGAAATCGCAGAGGATGGTGCTCCTATCAACAGTTCCATCTGATGTTTTTTAAATGTAAATGTTCGATTCATGTGGCCGAGCAATGTCGTCTGGTCAGGTGACAAAGCTACTGTGGCCTGCAGTACTATAATCGTTTTATCTTGCATCTTGTTTTCATAATCATTGAAATCAAAAATTGTATTAAAAACTAAAATTTGATTTATTGCCCAGCCCTTATCTTGTGTTATAGTTGATATGACCATTCCAAGATCTGTATGTATTTTCTATCTGTCCAGGTATTAGGGGGTAATACAAGATGAAGATAAAACTGTGCTGCTTTAATTGACTTTCAGCATTAAAAAAATACTTCAAAATAATTTAAAATCAGTTAGATATGTTTAAGAGTTGAATAAAAACTACCTTTAATCTGACCAGCAGAGTATAACATTTAAAGCTTGTGTGCATTAGCACTCCATCAATACAATTTTACCTTTTATATCAGATCCAGTTTTACCAGTTACCAGTTATATATTGGCACATACACTGAGGGCTCTCCAAGCAATCAACAAAATGGCCAACCACACCATTTGTGTAAAGCAGAGTCCACAGTTGTTTTCTCTGATCGAGAGTGACCTGGAAGCAGCAGGCAAGACTGTGGGCACTTCAGCTGAACTGTGGCCGACACTGTGGTTGATATGGTGAGAAGAGTGATAATAGGGAAACGGCTTGTTAAAAGATAAAGGTTTATCGTGTTCAAAGATGTCAGCTGCTCTGCTTCATATTATTCTGTCAAGTATCGCGTTGAGACAAAAGGCTAATTTCGCTTTATTACTTTTCTCTGGAGAGGCAGTTTTAGGACAATAGGGAGAGACTTCTTTTCTCATTTGTTAAAACTGATCTCAGCAGAGGATCTTAGTTCAAGACAAATGCACTCTCACTTGTTTTGTGTGTGACGTTGTGTCATTAAGACAAAATCTGAAAAGTTTGTGTGCCCTTTGTTACTAAGTTTTTGATTAAAACAAGCTGTGCAAGATATGGATGTTACTCATGCAGTTTTAAATGTGTATAAAAAAGGTATATCCAGTTTTACCATCATTTACTAAGGTTGTTTTCTTGTCGTTTTCTCCACTGGACAGATAGTAACAGAGGACCAGTTCTGTGGGCATCAGGGCAACGACATGTATGACGAAGAGAAAGTGAAGTACACAGTCTTCAAGGTCCTCAAGAGCTCTACGCTGCAAGAGTTTGTCCAGACCCTCTCCCAGACCATGGTGAGACACTCAGTAGTGTGTGTTTTTGATGCAACTGACCTGATTGAAATGTATTTATCCCACATACACAGTATGTTGAGTCACTGCTGTAAATACGCGAGCCTCTATCTGAGAGACGGTTTGTTGATTTTCCTGTTTGACTATAATGTTTAGGCTCGTAAACCAGTCACATGTGCAGAGCAGAGCACACGTAGACATGCATTAATTCTCCCTCCCACATTAAATTAACTCAGCTTTTGATTTGCTGCAGGGTTTCCCACAGGACCAGATGAGGCTGTGGCCCATGCAGGCCCGGAGCAACGGAACTAAGCGACCTGCCATGCTCGACTACGAGGCTGACTGCAACAAGTCGGTAAGTGTCTGTGTTTCCGGTCGACCTGCTTATGGGTGTCACCTGTATTGGTGTTTTTAGTGCTCATTGGACATTTTTGGAAAGAAGATGAGAAGCTACCACTGTATCTTTGCTGTGCTTCCAGTACAGATATAGTTATGGGACATGTTTAATTTAGGTTACTTCACACAATGGAAGCGGGATATGTGAATCTGGACGGGGTGTATCCCATATTGAGACCTCTCAGTCATGCTAGGCGAAGAGTAGCGGTTATGATAGTGACCAAAACATCTATCAGTGGACAGTCACTGATTCTTCGAGCCCCCTTTCAGCCTGACTTGCATTAGGGCTCTTGACACTTTTGAGGAGTGTCGTTCAACTAAAATGAAAATTATGCTGCTGCGAAAGGTGTCAGTCGTCTCCATGGTACCCAGACACCATCCTCCAGGTGGCTTGTTCAGTTACAGTATATCATCCCGTTTAGTATATATATCATTCTGTCAGCTGTTTGTTTTGTAACTATATCTGCTTTACTTTGGTTCTTTTGCATTTTGATAGTGGAGGGATTTGATGAAATCAGTTATTTAAAGAGGAAGAGATTTAAAACTTAATTTTACTGAGAAGTCAACAGGAGCGCAACAATAAGGGTGGTCTGTGCATTCATTGAGCCTAACAAGGGAGTTACAGGGCGAATAAGTGATGCAGTGTGACTACCCTATCACATTGCATGTCCAAATATGACAGTGTCCCTGACAGAACAAAATTCTTGACCTGTCACTACAACTACTTTGGTTGGGCGATATATTGTCCCAGAAATAATTGCAATATTATATTCATTTTGAAACCATTTTATGCCACTAATACAATGATTATATAAGGGCATAATAATGTAGTACACTCTTTCAATCAGCAGTTAACTTTTGATTCTTAAGAATATTTAGACATTGGAGTTGAATTGTGAAAAGAACATTTAATGTACTTTTTAAGACTAAAAAAACAAGGTTATGGAAGCTCAGCAGTTACCTTCATAATCCGGCTGGTGTGCTGCAGTCGGCTCCCAGGAGTGGACGGCCTGGTGGCCAGGCTCTTTGCTCGTGGATTAACATAGTGGAGGATGAAGTTGTTGGAGGCTAAAACTACAAATGACGTGCTCTTTGGGCTTGTTGCCAAAGGTTGGCAAGCTAACGACTATCAGGACTGTGAGTCTTCCACTCCAAAAGTGCAGAAGCAGGGGACCAGTAAGCTACGCTGTGTTGTCTGAAATGTTTTAGTTTTCTTCAGACTCGTGCAAGTAGGCGTGGGTGGAGATGTAAACACAGTGGGTGATATCGAGGTCAGCAAAATGATTGAGGTCGTGTCAACAAATTGTACAATAAGTCAACACCAATTATCCTGAAAGGCCTCCTAGTGACAGTCTTTTCTGTTGGACATACGTGATTTCAGTTGAGAGATACTCGTCAAAAGTGTAGAGCGCCCACCATAAATCAGGCTCAAGTGTATAACACGAGCACTTGTCCCCATGAATGTTTACACCACTGTCTTTTTTTTTCAAAGTTGGTGCATGTTTGTGTTTCAGATGATCGACTTGAGCGACAATGAGAACCCCTGGACAATATTTCTGGAGACGGTGGATCCGGAGATGGCAGCCAGTGGGGCCACGTTACCCAAGTTCGACAAAGACCGTAAGTCCCGCTCGTCGATCCTCGTCCAGCTCAGTGTCGGTTTCAGCAGTGTTTCACACGTTGTGGCACTTTATTTTGTTTATGGTATTCGATTTAGAGAGTCAGTGACTCGTTCTGTAGGTGCCAATGTCTCTGACAATTTCAAGCTTATGCAGCATGACTGCTACATCATTCTTCCATTTAATTTTCAAGGTTTATTTGTTTCACACTCATTTTGCATTCAGTTTGTGTCGGCACAGCCACACTGCAACTGGAAATATTATAAATGCTCCTTCACAGGTTATGATCACTGAGCTTAACGCTGTGTGAAACGCTGACAAATGTATTATAGTAGTAGCTTAAGGTAGTTTTTTGTGTGTTTAATATTTTAAGTTTAGCACTAGTTGTGGTTATGTAGGCAATTTCTTATGTAATGTCTTTGTCTCTTTCTCTTTTTAGATGATGTCATGTTGTTCTTGAAGATGTATGACCCCAAAACCAGAAGCTTAAATTATTGTGGACATATCTACACACCTATTTCCTGCAAAATAAGTAAGTGATGGCGATGTCCTAGTCTATTTTAAGCCTAACTCAGTCATGCTTTATATAAAATGCCTTGAACTTTAAGATTAAATCATGTTTGTGTTGCTCTCTGTAAACAGGAGACCTTCTACCAGTCATGTGTGAGAGAGCAGGGTTTCAGCAGGAAACTAGCCTTATCCTCTATGAGGTGATCTATTTATGTAGCGCTCACTTGCTGACACATTCTTGTCTTTCTCTCACTTGTTCTCACTCTTCAGCAGCTCCTTCACACTCGTGCTCCTCTATCTGGCACACAAGCTTTGTCTCATAAACTTTCCTGTGCAAACTTTCACACTGTCGTATGCAGCATCTCTCTCCTCTCACTCTTACCCATCTGTAGTTGCGTGTTTACACATCCTTAAACAAATACTGTCATGCACTCAGCAGGCGGCTTCATTTGACTACATTTCCCATGATGCCCTGTGTGTTACAGGAAGTAAAGCCCAATCTAACAGAGCGGATACAGGACTATGATGTCTCTCTGGACAAGGCCCTGGATGAGCTCATGGACGGGGACATCATTGTCTTCCAGAAGTAAGACCAGTCTTGTGTGTGTATGTGTGTTTAACTTGTGGTGTGTGCAGTGTGAGCTAATTTATATCAAAATATATTTTGAACTTCACAGCTACATGGCTGAGTTGTTATATTTGCTGTGAAGGGTTAGCACATTGTATCAAAGCCATCGTCAACCAAAAACAGTCTTGGTTGACTAAAACTCTACCTTCTCTTCAACCAGTCGAAAGCGTTTTTATTCCCCTGAGGCCAGCGTTGCATGGGGACTTTGGAGCGCCGCAGATTGCTGAGCGTCTATTCTAAGTGCTGTACGTTTGCCGTATTTCTTGGTCAACAAGACTTAAAAAATGATAAACATTGCAATCGTTACTGTCGCTTTTCACTCAGCCTTTCAATCACAGTGGAGAACAGGTGGAAGAAATACCACAAAGACCAACTGTCACATCATGCATGAGTGCTAAAGAGAGTGTTAATGGAGGAGAAATTATTGCTGATGGTCACATAGATAGGCGGGTCCAACCTTTCTTTCTATGTGCTTCAGCCATCCCTTCATCCAGAGCAAGTACCTTGTGGATATTCCTTATCATAGCAAGCTGTCGCACCTAAAATGTTGCGTCTCCAAAGCACCCTGGCACTTCCGGATAGGCATTTTCAGCCAGGAAAAAAACACTTTGGTGGACACAAGACACACGGCCTCATGAAAGTAACCACCATGTCCGACCAATGAGAATTTGGTCAGATAAGAGCATGTTGACTACCAGAAGGTATCAGTCCTACAACAAACGTTGCAATATGCCAAAAAAAGGGCAGTGAAGAAAACTGCGTGAATGTAAATATGTCTAGATTTTTAAATAAAACTTAAATGTATCGTGAGGAAAGAAATGCAGTCACCACTTTTGTTAGATGTCAAAGATGCACACAGTGTGTTTGGAGATGGACACTGAAGATAAACAGAACTTCAGTTTGTTAGAAGAAAATTCCACACGTTACTCTAACCTGAACTTTTATGATTTGGTTGTGCGCAGTACGATTTATTCAATTCTGTCCCAATAAAACACCAGAGAGACAGACAGAGGACTCTCATGTCTCTGGATGATTACTGGTATTTCTGATGAAATACAGAGAAACAACAGAGAGGTAGGAGAGGAGGAGGAGGGGGTGCGAGAAGTGTGTTTGTATGTAGTGAAATTTCTTGGTTAGTAATGTCGTCACTAGGGTTAATAGGGGTGTGATTTTTCAGGATTATTCCAGATTTTCCGACTTGAGAATGTGACCCACGTGAATCAAGCAAATCATGAGCTGCTTGAGTGGTAATAGAGAGGATTTGAGGACGTCTTTATAGGCTGAAATTTTAAGTTTGTTTGCGTTCAGCTCCAGCTAAACCTGTTGAAATTACAAGTCAGTGACAGTAAAGCTACAAAGTTACCTGGGTCTGAAGCACCACAGGTTAGTTAATGCCAGTAAATAGTCAACACTGGCCCCCAGCTTACAACACAGCTCTGCTGATGGGCGCCTTGTTTCTGTTTGTTCATTACTTTCTTATGACATGGTCAAATTGCATTTCTGTCCATCATAATTTTACTTTAAAGTGAACTTTAATAGCGTTAAAGCTGGAGGCTATCAAGCTGGTATTCATCTCACTTGATGGCACTGACTATTTACTGGTGTTTACTGACCTTATTGGCGCTGTAGATGCAGATAACTAGGTAGACACGATGGATCTTTTTGTCCTTTGCCTCTGTTGCTTTATACCCCTCTCCCAACGTGTCAATCTGTCTCTGTCTCTTGCCTCCCATTGTCCTCTCTGACCTCTCCTGTCCACACTGCACGTTCTGTACTTTAATTTACACACTTTCCTACCTTCTTCCAACCATTAAGGGACGACCCAGAGAATGACAGCAGCGAGCTGCCAACGGCCAAGGACTACTTCCGGGATCTCTACCACCGAGTGGACGTCATTTTCTGTGACAAGACCATCCACAACGACCCCGGCTTCGTCGTCACGCTCTCAAACCGCATGAACTATTTTCAGGTAAGGGCCACTCAGGCACTTTTAATGAATGCTTGGGGGGGGTAATAAGGTGGTAATTTCAATGTGTTTGAAATCAAATATTTTGGTAATTTACTGCTGCTTTAAATGAGAAGTCAGCCATGAGTAAGGAAGGACATTTAGGGGACACTGTTCTGCCCTCAGACACAGTCAGAGAGTTGATCTGTCAAATATCTTTTATAAAAGTTCTTGTGCTTGATACTGTGAATGCTTAGAGCCTGCCAAGTTCTGAGCTTGATGTTTTATGAATTTTATCCTCAAATGTTTCTTTTCTTGTAGTCTCCCTGCTGGTATTTCAGTTTGCAGACACAGATGAAATCTGACATGCCTGTGGTGATCCTCGATTGTAACGTTTGTGCTGTTGTTTGTCTGTCAGGTGGCCAAGACAGTAGCGCAGAGGTTGAACACAGATCCCATGCTGCTGCAGTTCTTCAAGTCACAGGGGTAGGAGGCTTGTCTCATCCACACACACACACACACACTCACACAGAAATAACAGTCATATGATCACTAACGTTGACACACACCCAAGAGGTGCAAACTGTGTGAATGTAGTAAAGCTGTGTGTAATCACATTCAAAACACAGCACTGAAAAAGCCATGAGGAATAAAACAAATCTCATTTATTGTTTTTAATGTGTTTAAGGAGTTTTGTAATAAAAAATTGGTGCATGAGATTAGACACAACAGGAAAAATATAGAGGACGAGGGCAGGGAGAGCTCTAGCATTTGTTTTGAAATTCACCGATTGTGCTTTTGCTGTGGACTAATTATTCCTACTTTAAAAGTTCAACTTGCAGTGTTGTTTCACTCGCAGTGTATGAAATGATAAGTGTGGTTTCAAGGTCGTTCAGGATGTGCTAGAATACATTTTTCATGCTGTTTTGTGGCAAAAGATCATGATAAACGGCTTTATCACAATAATCATTATAAGACTTTCCTGAAATACTACTATCGGTGCATAGTGCAGACGTGTTTCCCCTGTAACTGTAATGCCAAAAATAACGACAACTGATGAGTGTCTGTGATAAGTTCACGTGTCTATAATAACAGCAGGACAGAGTCTGTTATCTTAACTGCTAAAGTCAGTGGAAAAGGTGATGTGAAGATGTTGTTGGTAGGCTACCGCTTACACACAGGCTCAGTGATGAACGTCATGCAAACGTGCTAGTGGTGTTTTGGTGTTTTTAGTCGAGCCAGACCAGAGAATGTTCAGTCACAACAGATCAGTGACGATGTTTTGTCCTTATTGTTCTCTGTTGTTTGCTGGAAGTGATGCAGTATAGCTCCAGCGGTTGGTTTTATGTGGAGTGAGCCCCGCGCCAAACTCCATCTTAAAAAAAACAGCCTTTTAAATGTTTAAATGCTGCATGGTTTGTCAGCAACTGGTTATATGTAACCCAGGAGTCAATTCAGTCTTGTGTGCTCGTATTTATTTGGCATACAGTTAACTCACCAGGCAAGATTTTGTTTCAATGAAAACTCAACTCCTGGCATTTGCGTCTAGCGTTGTAACAAAGAAATGATATGAGTAGCAGACGAACCAGCTTAAAAAGTGTCATATTCTTTGTGGATAGGTGCTGTGCGGTTAATCTATTTTATGCTGATGTGAAGAGAGTTTAATGTGGATATCGACAAGTAACTGATAAATGTTGAGTAACTCTTAAATATTGACAGAACTTAAAAATTTTGAATTTGTGAATGGAGTCTGGTGTGGCGGTAGGCTGCACCGGCACACCTGCCAGGCCAAAGCGGCCAGCTTAGGGGAAACTGTTGCAGAATGATGGTTTGAATGAACTAACGTCGCTAAAAGCACCATAAACAAAAGCATGCTGGTTGTTTAAAGGTAAAGATGGTCAAGTAAAAGTACTGTTCCTGTTAGATCCCATGCACCCAATCATGATCTCACATGTTATGTGGTATGTAAATGTAATTTAAGGTAAAATTAATGATTGTTAGTGTGGAATTTTTGGTACTTTCAGTCAGGGTTTATGATCCAGCTCCTGTCTAAAAGACTTCTTGTATTTTAAAATGGTTGTCCCAACACTGAGCAAACCTCCTGCGGACGTACTGAAAGAAAAACATCGACTGTGTTGTCATTCTCATTCTCCTCAGCTTATGTCATGTTTGCCTTTGATTTGCGTACTTGCAGTTGTCAGTAGAAATGTTGCGTAACCTGTCCCCCCCCACCTTTCTTTGTTGTTTTCCTCTAACTCCTCCCACTCTGCCTCTGTCCTGTCCTCCTCTCGACCCCTCCATCACTCCTCCGCTCTGCCTCGGCATCTCTCGGAATTTTTCGTCTTCTCTTCCTGTTCACCCACCTCTCCCTCTTTTCTCTCCTTGTCCACTTGCCGTTTTCTTTTGTCCTTTTTCCTCTTCTGTTTTTTTTCCCACCCTCTGTTTCTCTTCTCCTGTCATCCTTCTTTCCTCCCCTTGGTCGTCCTCCCCCCCTGCCTGGTGGTGTGGTGGCCAGGTACAGGGACGGTCCAGGGAATCCTCTCAGACACAACTATGAGGGAACGCTGCGGGACCTGCTGCAATTCTTCAAACCTCGGCAGCCCAAGAAACTCTACTATCAGCAGGTAGGAGACGTCTGCCAGCTCTGGGACCTCAGGGGGTGGTTTGTGTTTAGTGTATTTGTTTTCTTTCCCATGAGTTCTTGGAAGTATATTTTGGCCCATGATGGCTGCTTTCATGCCAAAAAAGTGACTTTAATGTTTGAAGCAGTTTCTTAGATCTGTCTGTTTCTTGTTTGGCCTTTTTCTCATCATGTCTGTTTTACTCAGACCTTGTTTAAGTTTCTCAAATGTGAGAATTTCCTGCATTTCTTGGCTTTACATTAGAGTAAATTGAATATTATTGGCTTTTGGATTGTTAAAGTTGATATTGCAGTGGGCCTTTTAATGTTTTATAAACAGATTGATTATTTGCTTGCAGCCCTGCTTTAAGATTCATTATTTCCTCTTGTGCAATTTTTGGTGTGTGTGAAATAACTCAGATTTAGTGCACAGTTTCATTATGTCTATATGATAAACCAGATTTATGTCAAATGCTGAACCAGTAGATATTTCAACAAGGAGGTGTCCTTTCCTGCCAGGCCAACTGCTCAATATAGCTAACAAAGCTAAAGCTACCTTAGTCCCTGATCAGACAGAGCTTTTTGCTGGTTGCAAAACACAACGTGCATCATTCTGCCTTTATTTGTCAACCACCAGATTACCTGTCCTTGGCTTGACCTCTATTTTGCTGTGAAGTGAACTCACAGATCGGAGCTATTGCGGCTTCCACATAAGTTAAAAAATAGCCTCCCACAGAAGCCATAACGGGAGATATGATGAACTATGATGAGCCTGTGGTTTAATTTAACTCAGCGTTTGATGATTCAGGGTTCTTTAGTTCGAGAACCCCGAATCATCAAACAAACTTTCCCCAAATAAACAGGCCTGTATAAAAACAAAGTTCAAATCAATGGGGTTTAAAGGACTTTATCAAACAATAAAAACTAAGATTAACCAAACAGGCATGGGTTAAAGACTGTAACCCTGTGGCGTCTTCCATGCTCCACACCCACTTCAGCACACCTTCTTTTAATCAAAGATTCTTGAGATGCCAGGTCAGGTGTTGCATTTAAGTGACTGAAAAAATAATAGGAAGCTAGGACTTTAATGGCTTTAACAGGTACCTTAAAATGTGCATCTAAAAGGACAGGCAGAGGGCACCTTTTCAGGCTGTTCCCAAGTAGTGCATTAGTTACAGGAAACTAGAAAACCATGTGTGTACATGAAAACCCTCAGAAAGAGAGGAAATCAACAGCTGATCAAGGAGCTTCACTCGGCACATGAGTCCGGGACAGTTTGACAGTCTGTTTTCAGTTGTCGCAGCCTAATTACAACGGGTAAATAGTAAGAAAGTTGTTGAGGCTTCGTTATGTTTTCATATGTTTTGCAGCTTGCGTAGGGCAATGCTAAAAGTGGGCTAACGTTAGCTGTATGCTACTACTTGTTGCCATTGCTACTACAGATGGCCCACCACTCAATTTATCTGATTGACAATATGAATGATGCTGGATTGAAGTTTTTTCAGGGCACTATTGCACAAAAAATATGAGGCGCTCATCAACGCAAAAGCAGCGAGGAAAATGTTTCACTCTCATTGTAACAATTAAAAAAAAAAGTCTCCCTACGCTGCTAAAACGCGCTCTGTCTGATCAGGGCCTGAGCCAGCTGACAGCTGTCATCTAAGGTAGACAGCTCTGGGTGTAAGAACAAGACAAACTTCTAGAAAAGATTAGCAACACGCTTATCATCTTCCATCAGTATTCTTTAAATAAACAGTAGGTACGTGCCGTCTCTCTGGCAGTTTAAACATATTTGTAGCTGTCCAGATAAAGTGTAAAGGGAGATCCCTCTGCAAATGGAAAAAGCTTTGTTGTGTGCACACGGATGCACCGCACATTTAATTTTGATTGGACTATGTGGGATCTGAATTATGGAAACACATTTGACCACAGAGTGCTGCCAGCCAGCCATTAACATTTAACTGCTTCTCAAATGCAGCTCGCAGCCGAACTTGTTTCTGATTGTTTCTCTCTCTTCCTGCGTCCACAGTTAAAGATGAAGATAACAGACTTCGAGAACAGGAGGAGTTTTAAATCCATATGGCTCAACAGCCAGTTCAGAGAGGAGGTAACACACACTTTTAAACACTCGTTCACACACTCACACTTCCCTTGACAAATGTGTCACGACACAGATGTTGCTGTGATTCCAGCACACAGGCGTTAACTGCATGTGTGTGTGTTGCAGGAGATCACCCTCTACCCTGACAAGCATGGCTGTGTGCGGGACCTTTTGGAAGAATGTAAAAAGGCAGTGGAGCTCTCTGAAAAAGGCTCTGAGAAGCTCAGGTATGCACCCCGCAGGAGTGTGTGTGCGTCTGTGTGTCACTGTTTCAATGTCATCTGTTTCTCCATGTTTGACTAAAATATATCTGGGAAGGTTACCACAATAAAACAGTGCCTGCCAGTGAGTTGAGCTCCAATTGTGGCCACTGATCTCCATCTGAACATCATGGCAAACTTAAAAGACCCAGAGACAAACATTTTCCCAGTTTTTTTCCCAGTTTTAATCGTGTCCCTGAGTTAATTGATCATTTATCTCTTGTTATACATAAAAAAAAATCAGCATCTGGGTATTTTTCCATCAAAATCCCCATCTTTTCTTTCCCTGTAAAACACCTTCAAATGTTTGATGACTCATTCTGCACTCAGGGGGGCTCACAAAAGTTCACCCAGTCAAATAAGATTCTGGGTGAACACCGATCATATAAAGCCGCACCTCCCCCACAGTGTATCTCGGGTTAGAAAGAGTGCAGTCTCATCAATTTCAGCCTGTATCCTAAGCTGTTATTTTAGGTTTTGTTGAGCTGTTTTTAATCTTTTTGCCATTCAAAGTCCTTTAATGTTTGCAAAATACAGTTTGAGCTCATTAGCAGGGTGACAATTATCCAAAAACACATTTTAAGTACTTTAAATTATGGCCTGACATCACCAGACGTTTACCTCCCCCCTGCCTTCAGAGGAACGCAAATCTAAGGCATTTTTGTAAAGATGTCGTCTTTAACAGTTCTGGATTTTTTTATATCTGCATCCAATTAATATTTTTGTGGACTAATACGTATGTCATCCCGTTTAATGTGATTTTCTGCTCGGAGAAATCAGTTTGTCTTTTGAAAAGCTGCTGTAGAGAATTAATCCTGTCTCCCTCTGTCTCTCTCTCCCCCACTCTCCCCCCCCCCTGCAGGCTGTTAGAGATAGTAAGCTATAAAATCATCGGGGTTCACCAGGAGGACGAGCTGCTAGAATGTTTAAATCCGGCTGCCAGCCGCACCTTCAGAATAGAGGTATGTGCGAATGTGAGGCCTTCCCTGTGTGTCTGTTTTTAGTGCTTAGTGTATTTTTAGTCACTCCTCCTCTGAACGACTATCAGTGAGATATTTGCATTTTTTGATCCGGTCCGCTCAGTCTGTCGACACAAGCAGGCACTTTGGCAGCCATTGTTCGCAGGGTTTACGTCTTCAAACTAATATGTCAGAGATGACTTTCAAACTGGTCTGAAGCACCAAACTCCGGCTGAAAGTCTCATGTTATTGAACTACACCGTACAGTAAAACTTCAACCACTGGAGGTCAACAATGACAGAATTTCTTAAATTGCTCTTGAAAGTACCGGGCTAATTTTAAGCTGACCACTGGTTACACACACATTTCACAGGCAGTAATTAGAGTAACCTGCTCTAAAGTTAGAAAGTGCAGTGTTTCCCACAGAATCAGATTCTATTTGTGGCGTTGCTGCCCAGTCGAGGGTTTGATGCAGAAACTGTGTTTGATCATGAAGCCCAGTGTTACTGTATAATTCTCTAATTTGTTAGTAAAGTGTATGAACTACGCAGCAAACTGAAGTCTCTACTTAGAGACAAACACACAGACAGGACGGTGACTCATATAAATGTGTTCAGCGTGGGCTGAATGCGCAGGTCCACTTTATATACGTCTGGTGCAGAACTGTCTGTATCGTCTCTGTGCTGTATTTGTGTAAACCATTGTAATCTGGTCATGGGTCACATCTCTTGCCCTCTTCCTCTCCGTGCACTTCTCATACTTCTGCTCTATACAACTGACGTCACATCCAGTAACTACTAACGGCAGAGTGCTGACTTTTATTCAACACACAGCTCTACTTAGTCATTGGTGCAGCTCCAGTCTGCATTTGTTTTTGCCGTCTGTGGTTCGGCAGCTGTCAGTGTTGTCAGGCTGTTACTCATGACGTGTTACACCCAGTTCAGACCAAAGATTCACAACGAGATGAAACCGCTTTAGAACGTTGCAGAGAAAAGCTGCAGCGGTGTGAACTGACCCGTCTGAGCTCGACTCAAGCCGGCTGCTGATGGTGTCACCTGCAGCTCAGCTGGTTAAATCACTGGCTGCTGGTTTTAGAACGTAAAGCACATCGCCTGTTTCCACAGCCGATTGGCTTGTAGGGAAGTCCGCTGGTCAAGTCAAAATGACTGTAGACAGTGTGTTTGCTTGCTGCAGACGGTGCTCTGTCCTAGCCGTGCCGGTGTCGGGCGGTGGGTCATTGCTGCTGCTCCCTGTATGTGCTCATGCCCCCTCACACACCCACATTCTCAATTGGTGCTGCTCACCTGTGTCTGCCACAATACAGTTCTGACCCTGTTATCAATAAGAGATAAAAATCAATCGCCCATTTAAGACAAACAGTTACATAAGCAGCTCCAGATATAAGACCAACACACAAAAAATAATAACTGATTAAGTCCAGTAAAGTTTACTTTAAACTGACTCTGCTGATTTTGCCTTCAGGGCTTTCTGCCAGACATCTAATTTTAACCAAAACCATTGTCTCTTTCCTAAAACTTCAGGGCCGTCTGGCTTAAAGCCCTGAAGGCAAACTTCTCCCAGCAGCCATAAAACATGGATTAACAACAGCATCACTTAACAAAAGATGCTCAGTATTAACTGTCAATGTCCATAGTCAAACAGTAGTGTTTTGCTTGTCACCCATTATTATCTTAAGCACTTTTACATTGCTTAAATTAGCTTAGCAGCTAGCAGGCTTTTTCTCTACTCACAGCTTAAGAAATTACATGTATTATGGGCTGACTTCCAGCTTACCTGGTACAGCAGGGTGAATTTCAGCCTGCACGCACGTTTTTCAGCCCAACATAGTTGAAACAGAGAAGCTAATGTTGCTGTAGCACTAAGTTAGCAAAGTGAGGTAACCAGCCAGGCAGGTTAGTTGTGTTCTGTGCTTCAGCATTGTTTATATACAGCATGTGCTCTGTCTGTTGACCCAAATTTTCTCCAAAATGCAAAATGTCTCCACACTGCTGATTTATCCCCATGAGGGGAGTAAATATTGTCATTGTCTCTTTCCTGGCTGCTTGCCATTATCTGCGCTGTTAGACAGTGACACAGAATTTTCAAATGAAGGCATATCCTGGGACGGCCTCTAGCGTAGCGAGTGTGGGCTGAGTCCTTTGCTTTGCTGTCACTCTCTAGCTGTACTGTTCAGGGTGTCCGCGCGGTCTTAAAAAGTATTAAAAGTTGATAAATCAAATGTCGGAAGATTAAAGCCCTTTAAAAGCATTAAAAAGTCTTAATCACGATTTTATGAAGTATTAAATTTTCTTGGCATTCAAGCTTTGACAAAAAGTATCCATGAATGTATAATTTATTTTCCTCCTTGTGACTATCACAAACAACGATGTGTAGGTAGTCACACTCGGACTGCCACTCAGGGCCGTGCGCGTACCTGTGCGACATCACGCGACGGCGCACATCCAGGCTCCAAACAGAGGTGCAAAAGATAATAAAAAATCCTTCTCATCTTATCTGAGTTCTGTTGTATGTTTGTGCTCCATAGATTTAATTGCAAACTACAACTGTTGTTAAAGATGCGTTGCTGCTAACGACAGCTTGACGTGGCGATGAGGTCTTAAGGTTTTTTTGGAAGGTCTTAAAAAAGTCTTAAAAAGGTATTGAAATTAACCTCAGGATTCCTGCATATACCCTGACTGTCATCGATCAAGATTGATGGATAGTTACACCCCTAGTAACCAGTCAGATAGTGCAGTGGGCGGGACATTGAGACGGGCTGCTTCATCATCAATTTTATTGGCTATCAAATTTTATACGGTGAAAAAAAAAAGAAAAGTAGTCAATGCTGATATTTTCACCAAGAATAAATCAATGTAAAGGACGCACTGAACGCACTTGTCTTAATCTCCACTCCCTCACTCTTCTTTCCTTCCCTCGCTCAGGAGATTCCTTTAGACCAGGTGGACCTGGACAAGGACAGTGAAATGCTAATCCCTGTCGCTCACTTCCACAAGGAAGTCTTTGGCACCTTCGGGATCCCCTTCTTGCTCAAGATCAGACAGGTGTGTATGTTTGTACATACGTGTAAAAGACTCATTAGTCTGTGTAACATAATGTATCACTCAGTTGCTTAACTTCATGCTCTGTATGTCCCTGACCCTCTCACACACAGGGCGAGTCATTTCGGGAGGTGATGAGGAGGATCCAGACCATGCTGGACATCCAGGAGAAAGAATTTGAGAAGGTAAAACACCACACTGGTGAATCATTGACACATGAAGTGTGGCAGAACTCCACACAACCAGTCAGTCTGAATATTTTTACAGTATTAAGTGTCCTGTGGGTAAACACTGGTCAGCTGTCGACTAACTCATGTTTGTTCGTTCTCAGTTCAAGTTTGCGATTGTGATGATGGGGCGGCATCAGTACATCACTGAAGACGAATATGAGGTCAACCTGAAGGACTTTGAACCACAGCCAGGTATTTACTGCTTCTGCTGCTAACACAACCGCTGCTGCTGTTACTGTTACTGCACTAAAGGTAGTGATGTCACAAGTGCCACAGGCTGTAGCCAGACTCAGGGAGATCGATCATTTAAATGAGGCCACTGCGTTGGCAAAATCAAAGTCTGCAGAGCATGAGGTTTACTTCTGGTCCACTTAGTCTGCAACTTGGTGCATTATCTTTCAGCAGTGTTGTGTTGGCCGATGAAAATCATGCATGAGCACATTCCTGGTAGATTCCTTTTAAGCAGAACTTCTTAATTGAACTTTTTACCATGTGATCACTGAGACAAAGGAGAGATGGATTGGAACCGTTATAACTCTTCAGTGTTTTAATCCTGTCTCACACCCACAACCAACACGACCACTTGGCCAGACACTATTTATACCGTGTTACCAGAGCCTGCTGAGATGCTGCTTCTCATACAGCGCTAAAGTCTGTGTCTTTTGTCTGTAACTACACAAGTTTTATGCTTAGGCTAAAATTCTTAAAAGGAAATGATGTAGCTTTTGTGTGGATGTTTAAACAGTAGTCAGTTGAAGCAATACATTGCTTAGTGTGTGCCATATCGACAAAGAAAGTGTTCTCCTGCTCACTGAGCCAGCCGTGCCCACATGTACCAGAATGCATTTTATGCAAGCCCCTGACGCCTTCACAAAACTTTTGGTGCGCTCCATTTGCACTGGGAGGTCAGAATTTAGAAATTTCAACGGGAACAAGATGTCTGATTTGTGACTCGGAAAGTTGTAAGGAACCTCACAAGCCGTGACCTCAGAATCTAAGATGGCTCCTCTGCGCATCAACGGTAGTGAAAGCTGTAGCAATGTACAGTTTATTAGCACCTTTGTGTTATTTGTGTCTCATTAACACAGTCGCACACACCGCCCTATCCAACTTGTATCTGTGGATGTGCTGCTACAGTGTCTGTATGCTCAAAATACAGCGTAATGCAGTTATCTCCTATTGCTGACAATGATTAACCTGGCTACAACTGGTATTGCTTGATTGTCTGACTTGTACTGGAACATAGTAAACTCAGTTGTGACGTTATCCCATCCCCAACCTCCAACTTCTGAGCTAAATGGAACGCAGCAATAGCCTAAAGTGATGAAAATACTCACTCATACCCCTTTACCACCACAGTAGCTGGGATCCTTGAACTGGCTTCGTTCATGACTCCTTGAACCTTGGTGCTGTGTATTGAACCAGCCCGTGTTTCCACCAGTTTTGAGTGAAGCCATTGTGATCGAGGATGTGTCATCAATGGAGGGCATTGCACAACACACAACAGAAGTGAACAATTAGAGCAAAATTGCAGATTACATTGATTACTCGCAGTCTTTTATTGTTAGTACAAGTATTTGTTTTGAGCCAGAAAAAAAAACAAGCATAGACCAAATACTGATGAGACCAAGGCACGCTCTTTGACGATTTCTCACTTGACTTCTCCATCCTTTCTTTCCAACCTGTACAATATGACACGCCCACTGATGTCGTCATGGTTTGCACTTTACGTCAAGGAAAACTTGGCATTTCTCGGAACCAACTTCCCGGGTTCTGAACCAATTTATTTTTGGTTGAAATGCTCTGAAGGGTTCGAAATTAGGTGCAGGAACTTTAAGTGGTTCCATGTTGGTGTTATGGGGTGTCTAGTCTGAGTGGGCGGAAGTTCGCTGCATAGATCAGCCTCTCATTGGGCGGAACGAGCCACCCGCTGAAGTCCCGCCCTACCACCCCCGGTTGTCATAGTCAACAAACGTCCTTTACTAACTTTTGCGGTGTTTGATCTTGCGGGGATGTAGCCATTTTTCTGCCATGGTTCGCGTCCTGTAGGCAATATTTTTGTGGGCGTGTTACACCAAAACCTGTTTCCCCCCAGCAATATTTTTGCAAGCGCACCGTTGCTGTGGCACCGCCAAGAACGATTGTGATTGGTTGAAAGAAATAGAAAAAGCCGGGGCGTTTTTTTCTCCAATCTTAAAGTGAGAGTCGGCGCAGCCAGACCTTTCTTTTCTTGAGAAAGGTCTGGTGAGCGAGACTATGGGGTGTCAGTGGTCACCTGCCCCTCGTGGCCCTGCTGGTCTTAGTTGTCTTTTCCAGTTTACCTTCAGCATCTTGAACAGGGTCTCCAGCACACCTCTGTCCAAGTGAGAAGGCGAACTTTAGTCTATAGCGATCTAAGCAAGGGCACCACCAGTCTGTGTTTGATGGCGGCAGCTCAGGTTCTGGAACGTCCCTGCCGGTCATATCCTTTTGCATGGCTCATGTAGTCGCATTTCTTTAACCATGTACTCTGGCTTGAATAAATACAGCTGAATATCCGAATCAGCCAAAACACAGAAGTTTTGTTTTTGAGAGGCATCTAGAGTTCGCCCTCTGGCCACTGGAGGCTAGAAATCAATGCTGAAACAGCTTGTCGTCCTCAATACGGGAAGCTTCCTCAGTCAGTATAGCACGCACTGAGGAATTTATTGCTTCACCACGAGTACTGATTGGACAACCACACATAAGGTGGCTCTTTTTCCCCTTTAAATATTCCACACTATCACAGCGATGGTAACTTTAATCACGAGACTTGACGTGTAATGTCCTCTCTGACCTGTCTCCTTCCAGGTAACATGTCCCACCCGCGCCCCTGGCTAGGGTTGGATCATTTCAACAAAGCTCCAAAGAGAGGTCGCTACACCTACCTGGAGAAAGCAATCAAGATCCACAACTAAAAGCAGCCCGCCCTTCCTCTTGTCCTCCTCATCCTCCTCCTCCTGCTCCGCCTTCCTCCCTACCTACTTTAACACACCATAACCACAGACTGTAACCAACCGTGTGTGTGTGTGTGTGTGTGTGCGTGTGTTTGTGTGTGTGAGACTGTGTGGGCGTGCGTGCGTATGTGTGTGTGTTCATCACTTTTAACACCCTGCCTGGACACCTCTACAGCTCTACACCGGCACTATGTCTTCAGCGATTCGGATCTTGCTGCAGCTGACGGATTATCCTTCAACCACAAAATAAACTGCACCAACCACCTCCTGACTGTCCATTTTGTTTATTTTCTGTCATTTTTTTTTTTTTTTTTTAAATCGTCTCCCTCCACGTTTGAGGCTGTTCGGTTGTTTTTTTTGTTTTCCTGGCTTCTCTACCTGTTGACTGCCTGTTTTTATTTTTTTGCCTGTCTGGAAGTGGGAGAAATAAAATGGGATTTTAATATAAAATGCGCAGAGAGGGGAGAGGATGTGAGACTCAGTGTATATATAATATATATATTATTATATATATATTATATATATGTAGTATATATAAATCAAATGAACTTCTAGACTTAGTTTTTGTTTCCTTCTCCCACCTCACTCAACAGCTTTTTTTTCCCTTCAGATTTTTTTGGGGGTTGTTTTTAATAAAGAGTTGTTTGAAGAGGCGTCATGCTGCTGTGTGGAGAGTTTGATGGAAGGATGTTTGCGAGGACTAACTGACAGAAAAAGAGGGGAGAGGGCCCGGTGGTCTTTTTTTTTTATTTTATTTTTTGTTGCAGCTGCAAACTGGCGTCCATCCTGAGGCTCACTAGTTGCCCTGATGTGGTTCTTTATATTTTCTGCTCCCATCCTTTTAGTGCAACAAAACAAGTATTCCCGAGTTTACACGCAGTTCTTTCTCACTTAGTTTGGTTGGAGGAAAAATGAATTTTTTTTTGTCTCTTTCTGCAGATCTTGTATAATAAAATAAAAATCCACAGCATCTGTTTAAAAATAAATGGGGGAAAAACAAGAAGGAGGAAATTTGTCTGTATTTCATCTTGCACGTTGGCACTTAATGTCAGAGGTTTCTCAGGACTGGCAAATGTACATTTTGGTTGTGGTTTTGAGTTGCTCAGTGACTTTGAAGGAACACACACATGCACGGACATTACCCCCCTTGACTTTCTTCCTTTTCTTTTTTGTTTTGTTCATCAGGGGGTTTAAATGTATTTCTCAGTCATTCCTCTGAACGCAAACACACACACACGAGCTTCGTCATCTTGATTGAAACTGTCGCCTCCAGGTGGTTGGGAGCAGTGACTGCGCTGTGCTTGCTAGGGAGCTGCAGACGCTTCGAGCCGGCAGGTTTGAGGATTGTGTAGAGACAAAACCAGCATTGTAAGAAACACTTTAAGCCCTATGAATTTATTTTTCTTTTGTTTCTTTTAAAGCACAGATGGAATGCTCCCCTAATAGCGCATAGCTGGCTCTGTAAAGACAACATTTAAGAATTGTATATTTAAAAATATGAACGTGTAAAATTTAAGAGAAACACACGCCTTTGTTGTTGGGTACAGAAGGAGCCAGGTGTTCATATTTCTTGTGTGTAGGGTTTTTTTTTTTTCTTTTCTTTTTTTGCGTTCCTGATGTACCATTGACGATTTTTTTCTGTTACATTTGGATTTATTTTTCTTTTCAAAACTAACTGCACTGGTTTTGTCTTGTTAAAAACGTGCAGTACAAAGATGACCTGCAGAATCACACCTTAATTTGATCTTTTCCAGTTTAAAATCCTCAGTGTAGCAGCAGTGTACGACAACTATTCCTGTATATTGCCTTTTTGCTGGAAAATGTATGTTGAATAAAATTTTCTATAAAAACAAAAACACCACTCTGCTGCTTGTCCACACCGGTGTTTCACCCGAAACACTGTTCGTCCAACGAATAGCCCAACATCTGTTATCTTAGCATGAAGACTGGAAGCGGATGGAAATGGCTAGCCTAGCTCAGTCTTGAGGCTCATTTATAATACTCCCCTTACGTACGAAAATAGATGCGTCTTCTTCAAACATAAACAACCTTCATACTTAATGTGTCCTTTATGTTGGCATAGATACAGCCAGTAGATGCCACTAGAGGGCAGAGTCAAAAGTTAAAGAAAAGGAGGCGTAATATTGTACCTTTAAACAGAGGCAGTGTTGTAGATGGTGGCGGTCTGTACGGCTGTTGATGTTATGTAATGCACATCTTGACGTGGACTGAGAATTCGTTCGTTCCGCTTTGTCGTCTTCTTGGTCTCGGTCATATCTCGTTTGAACTATGCTACACTTCCTCCACAATCTCTGGTGGCAGGATTCCATTTTGTCTGTATCCGTAAGTTTTCAGAAAACATGCACAAATACGGACGAAATGAACGCAGACCCTGTGTCCTCATATGAGGACATTATATTTTGGGTTTCCTTGACCTTACACTTCATTCTACTTAACCTGTTGTGCTCATTTGTGGACACTTTTTGTGCAATCTAGTGGCAGTAAAGGCATATTACACTAATTCAAGTAAAAACAAAATGGCAGCCATCTCTGCTAAGTCAGTCTGCAGCCAATCCCGACACAAACGTGGACAAAACCTTATCAAATTTTATGGTTTACACTTGTTTAATTCAGATTAATAATGTTTGTAGTTTGATATGGCAACAATTTTGAACAATTTTAGCAACAGTAGGAAGTTAAGACACTTAATCAGGAAGTACTTGTTTGGAGACATTGGCACGTTATCGTCTCAATTGAGGACATTGGGACTTAATTATCTTTGATGATGTTAAGTTTTTATACTTAGCAGGTCCTACTGATCCCAAATAGCTAAGAGAAATAAAAAAGTTTACCAAACAAAAGTCTGGGTCTCAGGACATTGAGCATAAATGAGCCCTTAGGGTACCAAATTCTTCCAACCAGCATCTCTAACGCTCCCTAATTAACAAGTTATGTTTAGTTTGTTTAATCTATACAAAAGTAAAAACTATTCAGTGTGTTACAGGGAGTGATGTGCCGCATTACTTCACTACTTAAGGCCAGAATCCACTGAGAAAAACAGTGATTTAACATCACTGAACACAGGAGCTGCTGGTTGACCACTGCCTTGATCAGTTAATTTGTTTGTGTTAGTGTGATTCTGGCATATAAAGGGGTTACTTCAGATTCACCACAGTCACACAATAACACATACTAACGAACTGATCGAAGCAGAGATACCCCAGCAGCTTCTATGTGCAGCGTGCTAAAATTACTGTTTTTGTCAATGGAGTCTGGTTCATTTCCTGTTGGGATGGCTCCAACATCTGCTTTGTAGAAACGAACCACCAATTTCACCATCATGTCTGATCTCTAGTCTGGAGGAGGGCAAGAAAAAAGGCAGAACTAAACAGAATCATAGCAGAGTAAATCATACATATAGTCTACTTTTATTGGGAAAATAATGTCATGAAATAGTAAAAAAAACAAGTCCAAGCATACTCAGTTTTATCCAGGAGACGTATACACTGATATTGTATCAGGAAAAAGGAAGATTATTTTCAACGAGCTAGATCAAAAAATACAAGTATTTCACAGTAAACTACCTGCAGATGTTAGCCTGGCACAGAGACAACCAAAGAAGGATTTTAAATATTCAAAGAATTTGGCGCATTGTATTTTAAGTGTCTTGTATAAGACAAAAGTAATGGGATGTTATTTCTCATTTCTGTGACTCCACCTCTGCCGTCATGGTTCTTCACAGCATCGTCTCTGTGAAACGTGCAGCACTCTGTCGCAGAGGGGGCATGTGTGGTGCACATCCTTGCACCTTTTTGCGCAGAAAGGAATTGGAAGCAGCACCATGGGGACGAGGCACATGAGTAGCCTGCAACACACACACACACACACACACACACAGTTAGTGTCAGGTAGCTGTATGCAAGAAATAGGAAAGCTTTACAAAGTTTAACTCACTTTTATGAAGCCAGTTTTACTGTTTTCGGATAAACAACCACATATTAATCCACTTTACCGAGATGTTGTAACTGTTCACAGTGCCTAATCATTCAAAATGTCCAGGGGAGCATACCCCTAGATGGTTTGCTTAATACACTCACTGGCCACTTTATTAGGTACACCTGTTCAACTGCTCAACTGCTCGTTAATGCAAATAGCTAATCACATGGCAGCAACTCAACGCACTTAGGCATGTAGACATGGTGAAGACTACCTGCTGAAGTTCAAACTGAGCATCAGAATGGGCAAGAAAGGTGATTTAAGTGACTTTGAACGTGGCATGGTTGTTGGTGGCTCACCAAAACTGGACAATAGAAGATTGTAAAATCGTTGCCTGGTCTGATGAGTCTGGATTTCTGCTGCCACATTCAGATGGTAGGGTCAGAATTTGGCGTCATGGATCCATCCTGCCTTGTATCAACGGTTCAGGCTGCTGCTGGTGGTGTAATGGTGTGGGGGAGATTTTCGTAGTACCAGCTGAGCATGGTTTAAACACCACAGCCTACCTGAGTATTGTTGCTGACCGTGTCCATCCCTTTATGACCACAGTGTACCCATCTTCTGATGGCTACTTCCAGCAGGATAACGCACCATGTCACAAAGCTCAAATCATCTCACACTGGTTTCTTGAACATGACAATGAGTTCACTGTACTCCAATCTCTGAGGAATGTTTCCAGCACCTTGTTGAATCTATGACACCAAGAATTAAGGCAGCTCTGAAGGCAAGGTGTACCTAATAAAGTGGCAGGTGAGTGTAGGCTATGTGTCCCTCTAAATGTTGAAACAAACTTTATGCCCTTGCTATGACCTCAGGTTAAGATTTGAGACAAAGCCCCGGATCTCCACCGCCCCTTGTGCGCCGGAAGTACGTTGATCTGGCCGTTCCAAAACACGCGCCCTGACGCATACACTCACCCGAAGACGATGATCATTGTGCAGATTATCCAGGCAAACTGTCCTGCTTTGAATGAGATGTTGGTCATGACCTGCTGCTGGCAGTGGGTGCACGTCGTCATGGCGGGTTCGCGCCCCAGCTCACGTTGGTCGATTACAAAGGTCGCTCTGGCAGCTCCAGGTTTGGCACTTGATCCAAGTGTGCCTCCTCCGCTGGTGTACACTGATGGAGGAAGAGGGTCGGAAGAAGCAGAGGAGGAGAGGAGGAGGTGAAACAGGTAAGTTTCTGACTTTGAACTAGATAAATGTTTCCAGGAAGTGTAACATCAGCTGTGAGTTTACCTGGCAAGGCAGTGGAGGCGCTCTGCGGTGGGTGTAGGGGAGGCTGTAAGGGAGGACATTTAGGAGGGTGTAAGGGAGGATCTACTGGGTTGTCGTAAACAGGGGGACCGTCTAATGGACAAGAAGAGTAAAGACAGAGAAAAACCAGACACAGACACAAGAATGAATGAGCCATTCAGAAAATGATGATGATGTTGTTGCGTGTGAATGTGGTGTGTTCAGGTTCACCTGGTGTGAGGTAGGAGTAAAGAGGAGGGTCTATTTGTAAAGCTGTCGTCATTGTGCTGCAGAGACAGACAACACAGACAAAAACATTATTACAAATGGTTCCTTCTGTTCAGACAAAATACACCAATACCCTGTGAGACATAAAAGGTCAGAACTAAAACAATTTTCTGTCTCCTCTCCTCCTCTTGAGACAAATGTGATGCTCCTTTCTGCCACTAGATGGAGCCAAAGCACGAATACAAACATCTGCTCTAATGAAAGTGTCATCTCTTACCGACACAACGTTAGTCAGCGCTAGAAGATCCACAGTAATAATAATAATAATATAATAATAATACATTTTATGCATAGGCACCTTTCACGACACTCGAGGTCACCTTACAGGCAAAGACTGAGGAAAAAATGACAGCGGATTAAGTCAACGAGATAAGGAATAAAGTAACATAAAATAAGTTAATAAAAATAATAACATTACAACAAATAAATATTCAACAAAACAAAATTACAGTGAAAAAAATTATGTGTAAATAGTGGATCTGTGTGGCTCAAAGGACGGGAGTCAAACTGAATAGGCGATTTGAAAGAGGGAGGGAGTTTCAGAGGCGAGGAGGCAGAGCAGCTGAAGGCTCTAGACCCAATGGTGGTCAGGCCGCCTGGTGGGACAGTAAGGTGGATCGAAGAGGAAGACCTGATAGTGCAGGTTGGGGTGTGGATGTGCAAGAGTTCGGAAAGGTACAGAGGAGCAAGGTCGTGGACGGCCAAAAGGTGAGGAGTAAGATCTTAAAGTCAATTTAACCTGGGAGCCTGTAGCTGCGAGGAAGTAAGTGGATGATAAACAGATGGGGACCCAAGACGGAATCATGGGGAACACCGGTAGTAACTGGAAATGGCTGGGATTTGAGTGTTTTGAGCTGGATGAATTGAGTACCAGATGGTACCAGTCAAGGGGTGTGCCAGTGATTCCAATGAAGGGCAGTCTGTTAAGGAGGATGTTGTGAGAAATTATGTCAAAGGCCCGAGCACAAAAGGGCCCAGTGGTTCCTGGCATGGTCCTGTCCTCCTGGAAGTCAGCCATCTTGAATTCTGTGTGTTTTTCATGTATTTTAAGAACTTTTTTGAACTCCTCCTTGTGGGTTTATAGGATTCCTTTCACATTCAAGTGGTAGAACTCTCCGACTAATGTGGCGCTAAATTACAGAGGAAAAATTAATATCCTATTAATGTCATAGGTTATGTGAGAACACGTCATTTTAGACACTTTACAGGTATGGAACAAAGATCCCGTGGATAATGAGTGAGTGATTAAGAGCTAAAAGTTAATTAACCCATAACTGAGAAAATTCACACATTACATACACACATTATCCTATGACATATCAGTAAAGGAGAGCTTTTTGAATCTTATGGCAGCGAGCTGATTGTTTTGACCACCAGGTTGTAACGTTGGTTAACAAAATGCTAAATTCCATTTATTGTTTCCAGGTCAAGGTGCAGAGGAAATTCTTGTCATTCTTTAAGAAATGACAGACAGCCCCAGCCGTGTCCTCAGCCAGGAGGTCCATACTGCAGCAAGAGGTAAGTTATCTTGTGTCTTGTAAGTTGACGAACTTGGAGAGAGTCACCAATGTATTTTTGGAGTCTCACAGACAGATGTTAAATGTTTGGGACGGGGGCGCCATCTGCCCCTGTGACCCGGCTTCAGATAAGTAATAAGTGATGCAGCCTTTTAAACCAGGAAAAGAGAAGAAAAGGAAAAGACAACAAACATAATATCTAAGGTGATATTATCTCATATAATGATATTGATGTATTATTGATACATTACCCAGCCCCAGTAAATGCCTCTTGGACGCTCTCTGTCTGACACACCCAAATATGTACATAAACCACACGCACGGTCAGGTTTGACCAGCACACATGCCACGTACATGACTCAGATGAGTGTCAGGGTGTTGTCTAAATGATATATAATACATATATATATATATATAATATATAAATATTCCTACTAGGTATGAGTAAGAGGAAGTTTTAGTGAGGGAGAAAACATCTGTGACAGCTGCGGACATATTGTTCGATCAGCAGCCTCTGACTTAATCACTTTGTGGTTTTATAGTGGCAGATGGATTTTTCAGAAGCTGCACCCAGACACTGCCTCCAACAGCAGCCTCATGTCCCGTCAAAAACACCAGCATGGCAGCTATTTGGGTGTTACACCTACTGACTCTATTAGTTTCATGGTGATAAAAACACTTTTACCTCTACGCCTTTTTAAATCAAAGTCTCTTTTACAAAGGATCTTGAACCCACTAGTGCTGCAGTTTCTTGCAATACTTTTCCAAGCATTATTCTTTCTCACTCACTGAGGTAAAAGAAATGCCAAACAATCTTATTAGAAAAAAAGAATCTGAGGCTGCTGGGAACAACTGTTCCTTTGACTAACCCAGGGTTTCCCAAACATCAATTTATTTGTGGCTCACTGCCACAATATCAGCATTTGCCACCCCCATTTAGATTTTTTGGAGCTGCGTTTTTCTCCCTCTCACGGCAGAAAATACTCTGGGCACATACGCAGCAGCACAGCGCCTGGCGAGGGCAGTGAAAGTGAAACTTAACCGTTTGTTAATTCACATAGTTTTAGTGTTGCTCATCGTTTTTAAGCACAGTTTTGGATGAGACCAGTTGCATCCCATGGAAACCACACACCCCTGCTGGGTCTAAATTTGGCAAACAAAATTCATTTTGGCCAGTGGCTCTCAGTTCAGCCCTGTGTGGAAACTGTTTTGAAAATGTAAACTCTGAATGGACAGATAGTTTTAAGCATGTGAGAAAAATTGTAAACTAGGGTGAAGGTTTTGATGACAGTAATTGAAAATGCGCTTTTCCTGTGTAGCATTGATCAACTGCAGCAGTAAAGTTACACATTACTGCATGTGGGAGATTAATTGCAAGAGAAAGGATGGGATCTGCTGTTTGTACTGTAATTTCTGAAGAGATCATGTCATTGTGATATAGAGACGTAAAAAACAACTTCAGTGAAATGTAAATTACTGTGGCCAGTTCAGCATCTGACCAAATGTCTCCCCTTCTGTTACTGAGATATGACGCTGAGTCACGGCCAGAAAAGTGTTTTTGCAGAACATTATGATGTCACAATGAAGTTGACCTCTGAACTTTTGAATATTGAAAGTCATTATCTTATCATTATAACCAATTAGACATGTGTGACATATGAATTTTGGCCAAAAACATGTTATGTGAAGTCACAGTGACCTTGACCTTTTACAACCAAATTCTAAGTCTGAGTCCAAGTGGACATTTGTGCCATATTTCAAGAAATTAACTCAAGGCATTGTTGAGATATTGTGTTCTAAAGAATGAGAATGAGATGGACGTAAGGTCACAGTGACCTTGACCTTTTACCACCAAATTCTAATCAGTATATTCCTCAGTCCAAGTGGTCGTTTGTGCCATATTTGAAGAAATTAACTCAAGGCATTGTTAAAAAATTGCGTTCTCAAGAATGAAAATGAGATGGACGTAAGGTCACAGTGACCTTGACCTTTGACCACCAAATTCTAATCAGTATATTCTTGAGTCCAAGTGGATGTTTGTGCCATAATTGAGGAAAAAACTCAAGGCAGGTTGAACAAGAATTTTAATTCTGATCTGAGATTGCACCAAAGCGACTGAAAAAACTGCACTTTTGTATTTTTTGTCCTTTGGTCCCAAACAGCAAAGGTGTAAATGTGAATCCTGTCCAGTCTCTTGCAGTCAATCTCCCACATGCAGCACTGTGTAACTTAGTTCTGTTGTGATTGATATAAACCATACAGGGAAAGTGCATTTTAAATCACTGTCATCAAAACCTCGGCTATACTTCACATCAGAATATACAAAGTACACTGTGATGTTAACATGACAAAGCATTTTGGCTATCTGACTTGCAAACAGTGACACAAGCACTTGTCTTTCTTATGGCTTGACATGTTAATTGACGTAGAAATTTTTCTTCCTGATGTTCCTGTCTGTCGGGCCACAGAGTCCCATCCACATCACAACAAATATCTTCCCTTGCAATGCAACGCGGAAATAAGGTATGAGGTATGAGGTATTTAAGAGAACTGGTTGATCATTGATTGGTTGAGGCTTCACACATTCTCCTTCAATGGTGAAAGTCAAGATTCACCTGAGAGCAACACATGTACCAAAAGTCTAATAGAAATGTATAGAAACAATGCTTGATATATTATGAGAACTGGTTCAGCGCTTTTGCATGTAATGACTTAATGCATGTGATGATGTTTTGGGGGTTAAGACTATTCATCAGAGAACCAGTATCATACATTTTCTCAACATGACACAAGCAAATGCAACCCAATCACTGTTGCACTGTGTGTTTCTGCAAACTATGGATACGTCACATTCGTGCTCGGGATGCACTGTTTGTGAAATTCTGGACCGATACCGACGTTTAAAATAACAATTTGGCCGATAACTGATACCAGTACAGATGTTTTTGTTATTTATTCTCCCTTTTGTGTCAGGGAAACAAAAAACATAATTATTAAGAAAAATAACTGAACTGTTTTAAAGTCATTTCATCCTTCATTACAATACCATTCAATGAGCACACCACATTTATGAAATAACCTTTAAAATTACCTTCTTTGTGATGCACCATCTGCATTTGGAAATGATTGAACAAATTCTACCAGATCTGGCAACCCTTTATAGACCACCACTTCAAGAAAAACTCCATCCTCCAACTAGCCTCTAACACAATTTTTTATTTTAATTTTCTTTTTCTTGTTTTCAAGCTTCAATCTAACTTGTGTGCCATACTTGTCTTTTTCTACACATGTATGACAACTCACCCTTTAGAACATTTTTGATTTGTTTAATATTTTTTATATTTTTCTATCAGAAATTCTGTATTCACTTTTATACGACTGTCATTGGCTGTTTAACTTTGAAACCCCAATAAAAAAAGTTGGAAAAAATGATCTTTCACATGAAAAACATGATAAAAACGGTTTACTACTTAGGATATATGTATATTTTAAATATTTATTTTATATAAGTGTGAAAACATAACCACATAACAAAATTCCCCACATTTGAACAAGGGGTTTTGAGAATTTCACTTCTGATCTGAGAGATGAACCAAAGCGACTGAAAGCCACAGTAATTTTGCACAAGCTCGCTCATAAAACAGAAACAAAGTCAAGAAGTGAAAGAGCAACTCAGCCATTTATCCCAGACCAGTATTTCCACCCCGACAATTAGCTTTTCCTGTAACTCTTCCTTAAAACAGACGCACACATTGCTGCCGAGAATCAGGCCGGAAGATATGAATAAAATGTTGACGCTGCCGAGAAACACAGAACCACATTTTAGAAATACTTTTAAATTTACTCCTTTCGAGTGATGTATTTCCTTAATTTTTCGTGTATATCCAGTCATCACTTTGTAAATCACTTTCAACATGATGTCAGTTTTGTTTTGTTCCTCAGATAAACTCACTCGACAGATTTCAGAAACATTTGTGCGAAGCAGCAGTGACACACAGAGAAGCATGCAGCACGGTCGCATTCCTGCAATAGCACATGGCATTTTTGGAAAGTGAGGACATTTTCGGACAGACCTTCAGAGGACAGTTTCAGGTTTAAGAATTGGTCAGGTAAGAAGTAGGGTCAGGTTAAAGGTCAGGTTAGAAGTAGGTTTAGGTTGGGGTTAGGGGCTCAGGAATGCAGTATGTCATCATGAGTGTCCTTACAAGTATAGAAGTACAGCTGTGTGTGTGTGCGTGTGTGTATTTACAGATGAGTACTTTTGAAGTCCCTTTATTTAAACTGCACTTATACTCAGTAATCTAAATCTGAATCTAAACTTTGCTACATTTGTCATTTATAAGTCATTACAATCGTTAATCAAGGTCAACGTGGCCTCAACTTGGGAAGTTTTCTATTTACAAGTGAAGCAGTGTTTTTAAACACAACATGATGAAAAATATATTATTTTTAATATTTTTGATGTCCATAAGTCCATAACCAAGCATCAATATGTGACGAGGTCAGAGTCACGTTTTTCTTCTTTTTTTCTGTTTTTTCTCAAAACACCACTTTTCTCCTTAAATATGACAATTTTTCCCTGAACTAAGGGACTTACTTAAGGGTAATGCACAGAATCCCTTAGAGGGTTTCTTTAATTAAGTAAAAATATTAACTCATTTACTGCTCTGAAAGATTTTACAGTGGTAAAATACTAAAAACCATTTGTTTGCTTGCACTCAAGCCTGTGATACCAAAAACCCTTTGTGCAATTGTTCAACTAACTTTAAGGGATTCCTTAAGTATTAGACCAAGATAAGAAGAAAAACTTAAATACTTGAATACATGAATATTTCAAGGAAACCTGAAGAAAAAGACGTGTTTTGTGCGACTGATTTTATTTTAAGAAAGCCTTAAGATGGACTTTAAGGAAAATCTTAACTGAAGGTGTTCTGCGCTACAAGCCCCAGATATTTTAGGTACTTTGAAGTACAGTGAATTTTGGGTACAGAGCTTTTATTTTAAAGGGCCATTTCCTACTTACTACTTAACAGAGACAGCAAACAAGCTCGACGACATGGCAAGTATGATGCTGAATGTATCTAACTGTGTGGATCTTGGACTAAGGACAAATCTGGAGCCTGTGGCTGGACCAGTGGGGAACCACTGAACTAATAAATGGCGCTTGTGTAACGGTTGCATCGTAGCAATATCACATTGAGGATGTGTCATTACACTGAATATCAACACGGCTGTGATTATTTTTGGCACTCGGCCACATGATACTACTTCCTCGACATCATAACAACTGTTTTGTCAGTATCTATCACTCCCTCGCACACCTTTAAAATATCCAAATAGAAAGTAACTTGTACTTTGAGTTATTTATTATTAATCAGGGGCTGATTGCACAAAACACCTTAAGTTTTCTCCATGAGTATGACACTTAAGACTTAATTTCTCCTTAGCTTAGTTGCACAGAATCCCTTAAAAGGTTTCCTCAGTTGAGGAAAAGCATGAACTCATTTACTACATTGAAAGAGATTTTGCAGCAGATAAAGTTTCCATTGAGGTTGTTTGTTTGCTTGGACTCACGCTTGTGACGCCTGTTATCGTCTCACTAAGTTGGCCTATAGTTGGTTTCTCTGCCTGATTTTAAAGCTCTCATAAGTGCAAGGATGAATGAGTCAGTTGGGGCCTGCCATTGCGCAGAGGTGTTCTCATATTTCTACATGTTACTGTAAATCTTTTATGTTTTTATCGTGTTGTTGTTTGGCTGTAACTTTTTGTGTGCTGCTGTCTTGGCCAGGTCTCCCTTGTAAACCAGATTGTTGATCTCAAAGGGACTTACCTGGTTAAATATGTGTTAAATAAATAAAATGAAATAGTTAGATAGTGAAAAAATGGCAGAAGAAAAGAAGACAAGAAAACCATACTGGTCAGAGGAGGAAAAGATTACACTTCTGGAGGAATACAGTCATAGAAAGCACAAACTACAGTCAATTTGATCCCCAAAAAACAGATATCGATTGTAGGAAGATTTACAACAAAAAATGAATTCAGTCAAATCTTAAGTGTAAAATCAAAAGCATATCATCGGGTTCTCATAGGTACAGAACACTCTCCTCAGGGTGTGTTAGTTTTTGTTGCAGTTAAGATAGAGTCAGAAGTACCTTAAGTTTTGTTTTACCTTGCTTTGGTTGCTAAGATATTTTGTGCAACAGTCTATGGATTCCTTAAGACCAAGACGAGGAGAAAACCATAATTACTTAAATCAACATTGTAAGAAAACTTGAAGGTGTTTTGTGCAACTGCTTTTATTTTGAGGAAACCTTAACCAGGACTTTAAGGAAAGTCTTAACTTTGGCACTTTTTAACTTTCACTTAGAGAGAGTCATGAGATCAATCCAACAGCTGTTGAGAACAAATTTAAGAGTCTAACCGAAAGTCGGGTATCAGATTTTTAGTCTGACCGCAAATCAGCCACAGTACAGTGCAGCGTATTTACCTCACATTACTATAAAGTAATTTGAACTATCATGATAACACTTATCACTTTAGTCAGGGGTGTCAAACTCATTTTGAGTTCATGGGCCTCATACAGCTCAGTTTGATCTCAAGTGGGCTGGACCAGTAAAACCACTGCATAATAACCTGTAAACCAGTGGTTCCCAACTGGTCCAGCCACGAGGTTCAGATTTCTCCTTAGTCATTAGTTCAGGGTCCACACGGTTTAGCACATTCTGACAAGACACATATACATATGCACTTGGAGCTTCACTTTAAACCAAAACCAAATACCAGAGCCACTGAGCAAGAGCTGCATGCACCCTGGGCTACACCTGTGGCTGCACGTACTGTTCAGTACCTCGAATACCAAACCCACAAATGATCAAAAAGATAGCAAACACAAACATGAAGCAAAAGGCGGCAAACTACAAGAAAATTGTCCGAGAAACAACATCAAAATCAAAATTACTTCCTTCTTGAAAATATTCCTGCAGGCTGAGCTGAAACCAAGAATACCAGTTGTGTGTGATCCTGTTCCAACAGTGAAAGGACAACAGATTCATTAGCAGTGATTTAATATCACATTAAAAGCTAAAGACGAATCATCTGTCCTTCATATTTTTCATCTTCTCTCTCAACTTTCAAATAACCATAAATCCTTCACGCCAAACTACACAAAGTGCAGCCTTACCTTGGTGGGGTGCTGCTGTCAGTGTGCAGAGATGTGTGTAAACTGCTGCTGATGGAGCGCAGACAGATTTCTGTGACATCCACCTGTCTCACCTGTACCTCTGCAAGCCTCTCTCTGGACACGCCCACAGCCCTTCCTCCTGTGGGGGCTGTTCCTGCACTCTGGCACCACTGTGCGCCTGTTATGTATCAATATATGGTGGGAATGTCTTTATTTATGCGAAGGAAAACCTAAAATCAAGTCCAAGTCAAAACATATAATAGAAGATAATGCAGTCAGACTTTCAGGCATTCTGTTTTGCAGTGGTGGTGCAGTGGTTAACAGTGTTGCCTCGCAGCAAGAGGGTTTGCTTGCGGGCCGGCTGGGGCTCTTCTATGTGGAGTCTGCATGTTCTCCCCCAAAAATCTGCCTGCCCTTATTGCTGTTGTGTGCATAATGTTATTCAGACTGTTATTTAGATACTCCTTAAAAAATAACTTAAGGTTTCCTCAGAAAAAAATGAGCACAAAGTCACCTTTGAGAGCAGTGTGTAGGATCTAGTGACATCTAGTGGTAAGATAGCAGATTGCAACCAACTACAAATATTTTTCCTTGAGTCTCTTGAGTGACTGGAGGAAAATGCATGACTCTCCCGGAGGGATGGGCGGTGCTGCTAGATGAAGGGCCAGAATCACTGATATTCTTCTTCTTCTGATACAGAAAAACTTTTAGTAAGGAGTCTTAGCTTAGGAGCGATTTAGGAAAGTTCGTAGAGCAACTCTGAGCAGGAAAGGGACAGAAACTTTGACCTCAGTGAGGAGGTGTGGTCGACCCTGTTGCTGGGTAGGATGCATTCTTTTAACAGATGTGATTGGTTGTCACAGACATGCACTTTTGTGAGCCTGCAGGGTGTGAGGACACCCAGTGGAAATGAGATGAACTACATCACAATATGAGACTGAAAGTGTCGTCATTGTTTGTGTGATCACTGCTGACAGAAGGTTGAGACAGACTCAAGCTATTACTGCTGCACTGAGGCATTTTTCCAGTTTACCAGATATCTTAGTATTGCGATCATTATATATCTGGTGTTATGGTACTATTTCATAGAATGGGAAATGTGTGTGTATCCCTAATGAGATCGACCACAAGGATAATTCCTGCTAATCAGTAGGATTCTATTGACTTACTGTCATCCAGAGTTTGGAGACTATTTCTCCGACCTCAAGGTTTCTGACATTTTCTCCTCTGCTTAAGAATCTCTTGAGCTTCCTGAAAGACAGTTTTTCACCTCAGGAGCTCTTGGACCTCGTCTTAACTTTAAGGGGAAATTCTAAGAAAACGTCACTGGGAGCAACTCTTTGCATTAGGAAGCTTTGTGAATACAGTCCCTGATTTGACTTGAATATCAATTTCACTATTTCCTGTCTGAGCCTCTCTGAACAGACTCTCCGTGTCAGAGGTCTGGATGCTGAGACATTTCCCTCCTCCCTTCTTTTCTGTGTCACCACCAAAATCTCTTCCTCGTGTTTTTTCCCTCTTTCATTTAAGCCAGTGCTGCAATTATGAGTCAGATTATTAGTCAGGCTCGGAGATACTTTACGCATTGAACATCCACAGACAGCTACGCAAATGCGGACTTGTGGTTTTATTCATAGTACAGTTTAGGGTCCACTTCAGCCGACTTTGGGGCTCCAAATAACCTGTTCATGTACCGTCAGAATTGATAATACGACTCAAATTTTTGTATCAGGCTATGATAAATGGTGAAAGTTGGGCTTTTTTTAAAAGATGACATGCCTCCCAAATCTGATGATTTAGGGGTTATGATGGTATTTAAAACAAATACAATATATTATCTTACTATATAATGACAAAAACTCTGTGTGTGTGTGTGTGTGTGTGTGTGTGTGTGTCTGTTCCACGTTTTTCTCCTCACTGACTTGGTCAATCCATGTGAAATTTGGCACAGTGGTAGAGGGTCATGGGAGGATGCGAATGTAGCTATATTACATCAATTGGCCAAACGGGGGCGCTATAGCAACCGATTGAAATTGCAGACTTTGAATGGGCATATCTCATGCCCCGTATGTCGTAGAGACATGAAACTTTGCACAGAGATGCCTCTCCTCATGAGGAACACATTTGCCTCAAGAACCCATAACTTCCGCTTATATAGATTTTCCGCCTTTTTGAAATTTTTGAAAAACACTTAAAATCGATTTCTTCCTAGGAAGTTTGAGCGATCTGCATGAAACTGGGTGAACATAATCTAGGGACCAATATCTAAAGTTCCCTCTTGGCAAAAGTTGGAAAACTTACTAAAACTGAGCTTCTATAAGGCAATGAATATTGCGGAGGGCGTGGCTCATCACATAAAGGTGTATAACATCTCAAGGGTTTCACCCATCACCACGCAACTTTGTAGGCATATGACCACACATAATCTGAGGGGACCCCTCCATTATTGACCCCATCAAACAAAATGGGGGCGCTAGAGAGCTAATTTCTTATCTAGGCCTAACTGCCATATGGATTTTTACTAAACTTGGTAGATATGTAGAACAGGACGCCTCAAGGTGACTGGAGAAATTTAACTCTAATTGGCAACTGGGTGGCGCTATAACAACAGAAAAATGCTTAAACATGGCTAAAATGCGACCGATCGCTGTGGCTCCCCCTGTGGACCAATGTTTGGGTTTTGTTCTAATTTTTGGTATGACTAAGTCATGGTATGGTATGCTGTACATAATCATGGAAACTGTCAGTCAGTCATTCTGTCTGTCCCATGTTTTTCTACTCACTGACGTGGTCAATCTATGTGAAACTGCACATAGGCATTGAGGATTGTTATAGGTAGATGGTGACAAAGCTACCAATGGGTATGGACTAGTATATTGTATTGTAATAAAATACATCCATTTAACGTTGTGTTCGTCCTTTAAGCCTTAATAAAAACACACAAATCCCTCCGTAGTGCTTTAAAAATGATTTGACATGCAGTCCCCTAGTCCCTGAGTTTTTTTTTATTTTATTGAGAACAAAGTTGTTCCATAAAGTCTGTTTCCCTATAGACAAACTAACTAGCTGTTTGACATTGGCAGAGAAGAGTTGGCAAATTTTTTTCATGGGCGCAACCCACATACTCAGCTCTGCTGCTCATCCCACAAATGCATGTCCCTTACAAATGTGGCACCATTTCAAAGGTAAATAAACAGGCTTTCCAACAGTATAAGATTTATTGCTGAGAAGCATTGTTACAACAAAGAAATAATCTCCTTAATAATTTCCTTACTTTTTGTGCTTAGTTTAGTTACAATAAGCTGTCAATGTATTTGTTGGCTAGTCTGACTCATTGGATATACACTGTGGCTATAAGTCTGCCATTGGGCAGCTCATTTCTGCCGACATTCTCCCTTCTTTCCGCTATCTGTGTATTGTTTCCACATTCCCTTCACTACAGAAAACAACAACCTCTGAGCTAACAACTCACACTTTGGATTGTGCAATGAGGCATGCCTGTTTTCTTGTTTCGGGGAATAGCTGTACAGATCTGTCTACAACAAATAAAACAACTTGTGGACACACCTCTGAAAAGCTCTGACTCCATCTCACAGGACTCTCAAGCCTGCTGTTGATTCCTTTTCTGATTCGTCCAGTTGGAGTTGATTTGCCACATGTTTTAACTCTGACAGCGGCATGCATCAGTGACAGTGACCTCACATATTTACCGATCGGTTCTGCGTCACAAGAGTTTCTGTCTGTGGTTTTAACGTGTCCAGTGAATTCGTCCAGAGCTGAGGTATAGTCATGCTTCACCTTTAAGGCACTGGTTATCTGAAGTTTGTCTTTTATTAATCACTAATGCTGAGTGCCGCCTAAGATGATTCATTTGTTTAAAGAAACACAAACAAGCCAGAGCATTTTTTCCCCTTCAAGCAAAAAGATAAGCATTTATTCCAGACTTTTCTTTAATGCTGACACAGCGCTGTGGAGATGAATCTGAACAGTTTTTTTTTCCCTCACAAACTGTGTGGAGTTATAGACAGTATGTGTGTGCACATTCAAGCCCCTGCTACATGAGGCTCAGTTTGTTAACAGAGAGAACCACCATATGTGACCCTGCAACTATATAATCATGCAGTCACATTGAGGATTCTCTCAGAAAGTATCATCGGGATTGATTCTGAGGTTAAGTTGTGACAATCACGTCAGATGAACAGGTTTCTTTAAAATTTCAAATGAACAGCACCTCGAAACATAAAGTATTTGATCAACTTTATTTACAGTCCTTCATTTTTAACAAGTTTCTGAAAAGGAAAATAAGGAAAGATTGTTTTCTGTTGGAATGAGACAAAAATAAAACGGCTCCCAAAAAGTGCATGGGGTGTGCTTGATATAATAATAATAATAATAATAAAAAAAAGTGAGCACATAATATATAAGCTCTGACAACACAACGACTCCCAGTCTGTTTCCTAATTATATGATGTTTGATTTACTTTGGCCAACGCAGTGGCTCATCCATAGAAATAATTTACACTTAAATTGTGACCTTTCTCTGTCAGTTTCATAAAAATGGTGCAGCTGATAAGACAAAGGTAACAGGATGTTATTTCTTATTTCTATGGCTCCATTTCTGCCCTCATGTTGGTCATTTACAGCATTTTCTCTTTTCAACGTGCAGCACTTTGTTGCAGCGGGGGCACGTGTGGTACGCATCCTTGAACTTATTCATGAAGAAGGGAATCAGGCAGCAGCACAGGACTAACCTGCAAAACACACACACAGAGTTAGTGTCATGTGGCTGTATGCAAGAATTTGCTTTGTTTTGACCATTATGCATTTGTAATTTCGATCACTTTTTATGAACTGTACAGAAATGATTGGGGTGTGGAGGAGGGTTCAATCTTATATTTGATTGTAGAAGAAAGCAAAACCTCTCCTATTGTTGTTTTGATCTAATTTCGTTGTTGGAAATAAAGCCTGGTGCAGAGACAGGGTTGTGGTCCTTTGCATATGGCAAAATGCATCTCAGTTGCTTTTTTTGAGATTTATATCTTCATTTTTGAGAGAGAGCCGCTTTCCCAAAAAAATGAGACTACCCTCCTTTCAGCAAAAACAGAAAGTAAAATATCCTCCACCTTTTCTGACCCCCAGTACATTTACAAAAAATACATTTACAAAAATATATTTACAAAAAATGCATTTACAAAAAATGTATTTAAAAAAATACATTTACAAAAATACATTTACAAAAAACATTTACAAAAATACATTTACAAAAATATATTTACAAAAATACATTTACAAAAAAATATATATACAAAAAATGCATTTACAAAAATATATTTACAAAAATACATTTACAAAAGTACATTTACAAAAGTATATTTACAAAATACATTTACGAAAAATGGATTTACAAAAATGAATTTACAAAAAATATATTTTCAAAAAACATTTACAAAAATATATTTTCAAAAAACATTTACAAAAAATGTATTTACAATTTTTTTCTTTTTTTTTTTTTACAAAAATATAGTTACAAAATGCATTTACAAAAAGGCCAGCAGTGCCGAGAGTATCACCTTGAATATCACGTGACTGAAACATCAAGTTAAAAATATCATAATGACATGCAAATTCAAGGTGAAATTGTAAAGAATATATTTTTATAATTCATATATTTTTTTTTAAAAAAAATCAAAAAGAAAAATGTAATAAATGTGGTGTCATTTTGTACTGGTTTTGCAGCGTGCTGTACTAGGTTTCTGTAGAGTTACATGTGTTATCACGTGATCTGTTGGGCAGCCACCATTGGTTGTACATATAGAGGTGTGTCTCCTTATCTTGTTCATGTCTGATGACGGGCTGGTGCCTGAAACGTCACATGTGGTAATGCGATAATAAAAAGCCTTAACAACTAAAGGGATTCTGTTGACAGGAACATTGTCAGAGGGCTTTTATTTTGAAATGGAAATAGGAAAAGTTGACATTTCTTCATATCTATGAGAGATATAGACACTGAAACTAGTTAAAGGTGGTATAATGTCAGCAGTAATGTCATCTGCTGCACCATGCCTGAGCAGCACTGCTCATGCGGGCAGTGTGGCTGCTCTATCCTAAAATGGATGGCGAAATAAATACGAGTTTCCATGATGCACAAGCGCTGCTCACAAAGGCAGTGTGGCCCAGACTTAACAGTGTATGTGGTGTAAGAAGGTCTGAACAAGTCATCAGGCCCTGAAATGCACACTTACCCGCAGCAGATGAAGAGTAGGCACATCAGCCAGGCATAGGTCCCTGCTTTGTAGGTGACATTGGTCATGACCTGCTGCTGGCAGGAGGTGCAGGTTGTCATGCCGGGAGAATCCCCCAGCGCCCCATCGTAGCTCACAAATCTCTTTTTGCCATCTCCATCTCTGAGGTTGCCTCCTCCGCTGGTGTACACTGATGGAGGGAGAGGGGAGAAGTAGAAAGTGAAGATGAGAAAACAAGAGGGAAACAGAAGAGTTATCAAACCTGTATTAGAGTTAGGTTTTTTTGATGTGTGTTTCCAGGAAGTGTAACATCAGGTGTGAGTTTACCTGGCGTGGCATTCGCGCTCCCCGCTGTGCTTTCGGGAGGGGTGAATGGGGTGTGGACGTGGTAAACTGACACCGGCCTCTGAGGCACGTCACCTGGACGAGAAGAAGAGGAAAGACGGAAAAAGCGGAGGAGAAGAGACGGAAACAAGTTAGTGAGCCAATCTGATGATGATAATGATGATGATATGTGAGCATGGTGTGTTCAGGCTTACCTAAGTAGGGAGGTGGGTTGGTTTCACTATCTCCCATTGTGCTGCGGAGAAAGAGCACAGTAAGAAAAAGACCGCTACAAATGGATCGTCCTTTTCATTAGCAGTGTGAAACATACCGAAGATCTCTCTCAGAACTTTTACAATACATTCCCATGCACCCCCTCCCTGCGACAAATGCAATGCTGCTTTCTGCCATTAGATGGAGCCAAAGTCTGGCTAAACCATCTGCCAGGGCTCTCATGGACACCTCTGTCGATTAGTTGTCGGCACAGGGTGCTCATACTGCCTTGTATGGATGTTTCTTGTCAGTATAGGTGGGAGACACCAGGGCGGGACTCTGCCTGGGGTGTAATGGCTGACATGTTTCAAATCTTTACTCAGCCTCCTTGTCTGTTCACACTCAAAATGCTTTGAGGACTGCTGAGACGACGCAGTCAGAGCAATGATGATCTATCCGAAAAGTCTAAATCACCCCTGACTCCTTTCTCATTTTTCTGTTTTCGCTCATGTTTCATTGGTGTTAGAATTGTTGTCTTCTTTTTTGTTAATTTGACCGCAATACTACTTGTAAAATTGGATTACACAAGAACACGTGACAGCATTCTGTATCAAACAAAACAGTGGTTATATTCATGCTGCATCGTTCCTGTGAAGCCTTGTGCACGCTAAATGGCGGACTCCGCCACCAACAATGAAAACTACAATACAGAGAGTCATATTCATTGAATTTCTATTGTCTAAAATCTGTCAAACATAAATACTATCAAAAACAGGCCTTCGCTTGATTTAGTGGCATCTTAGGTTTCAACCAGCTGGAACTTCTCCCAGTTAGAATTCCCTCAGTGTTCAGGAGGTTTTAACTGGGAGCCGAATTATCCACAGAGGTCTCTTACTCTCCACAACAAACAAACCAGGTGATTAAAACCAGTAAAAACACTGAATAAGCAGTTTCATGTTAAAAATCAGTGTTTTTCCAATGCTGTTTGGCTCATTGTGGAGGGGCTGCTAACTACGGTGGCTGATGCAACACCACCCTATCTGGAGCCAGTGCTTGGTTTGTCCATTCTGGGCTTCTGTAGAAACATGGCAGTGCAATGTGGTGATCTCTGTAGACGAGGACCTGCTCCCTATGTAGATTTAAATGGCTCATTCTCAAGTAAAGAAAACATAATGATTCTTATTTTCAGGTGATTATACACTAAAGAAAATATACTTATTATATTCTATTATATTCTATTTCTGCCAATATATCTCCCTAAATCCTGCACACTGCATCTTTGATTTTGAGAATTATATCTTTAAGATGGACTCTTACAACATGACATCCCACTAAAGAGTCATAAAAACCTTAACAAGAACAGTTTGATTAAAGACCCAACTACTGGTTGAATGTCTGTCCATAATAAGACAGCCATGTCAGTCCTGAGGATTGACAGTAATTACAGTTATTACTCTTCAGCTCAGGATCTGGATGAACTAACTATCTCTGTGTGCAACATGACCTCATTAAAAGATAATTAGCATTCATGTCATGTGAGACCAATCAGACACGCAGTGCCTCAGTATCACTTCATAATTAGGTCACCACAGATTTTCTGCCCAGTGTATAGAGAACACTGAATGTTTATTATTATTATTATTAATATTATTGTTACTATAATTCTTGTAGCTTTGAAGTGACATACATATTTTGAGATTTTGTACTTCTTGGAGAGATTTGTTTTGATGGATTCATACAGTTATGTCATGACTGTAACACTGTGTAGATTTGAGTAAACGTGTTGTTTATACTTAGTTATCAGTAGTATGTTTAATCTGCTCGCTTAATCAAGAGATCAATAACTTAGGGCACCCAGTGGATCAGTAGCTATGTCCTTGCCCCAGCAGCTGTGGGTTTGACTCCAGCTCATGGCCCCGTGCTGCATGTCATTCCCTCTCATGCTCAACCTGTCCTGTCCCAAGCCATAATAATCATCCCATAGTGCCCTGATACACCAAGCCAATGGTCAGCAATCGGTCAATGTCAGGCCGTAGATGAGCGTTTGTTGCCATGTTTTTTGAGGTGTGTCCCACACTGTTGGCACTAGTTGGCCTTTGTTGTCTTTTTGTTTCACCCAAATCAGCATTTTGAATCAGCGTCGGAGATGGTAGGGCCCGTCGGTGAATGAAATCACTCTAATTGACAGCTCAGCCCAGCGCACGAGAAGAGAAGTGAGGAAAGTAAACAACCACTGGGGTGTGCGATTGAAACAAACTTGCTATACTAGCTTTGATATTTTTTTTATCAACTGAGCTCTTTAGCAGAAAAAAATCAGAATTGTTTGTTATTGTTTGCTAGCACGGTCAATGGTAAATAGACCTGCACTTGCGACTTCTCAAAGCACTTTAACATTCATCCATACACACACACTGGGTGATGCTACCACCTTAAACACACTTACACGCTGATGGAACATTTTGGGTTCTTGCCCAAGGATGCTGCAACTCGTGGAGCTGGGGATCGAACCACCAATCTTCCAATTAGTGGACGACCTGCTCTACCTACTGAGGCACAGTTGCCCATTAAATATCCTTTGTTCCTTCAAGATCAGGTTGTTTTGTTAATGTGCTAACTAGCGTCTTGAATCTGTCCTGCTGGTCCTCTGGTTTTCCTTTTTTAATGACAAACTATGGCAACCTGCTGGTGCAGAGAGTTATTTCCTCTCACACAGGTGCAGAATACACGTGCTTGTTGGCCTATTATTCAGTGCAACTTTTTGGCCGAGGCGCAGGCAATGTCAAGTGATGCACAGTCAGCCTGCGTTGCCACAAGTTCTTTGATGTTGGATGGGCCCATACAGGAGAAACTAAGCATTCATTTTCCCACACAGCACACGGTGCACACACTTGACTATCATGTAACATCCTCTCTGTCTAACTCTCCCGCATAACACACTACCTGACCTTTCTTTTCCACCTACACACACACTTTCCCCCCGCCATACATTACATGCACTGAGGTGTTGCCATAGTTCATCACTTGGGGAGATGACAGACAGTTTCATAGTGTCTCACACACACACCCCCCCCCCCCACACACAGTGCCTGTATACACCCATATGTTGGTGCAGGAATGCGACCGAGCTGCATGTTTCTCTGTGTGTGTTGCAGGCCGAGGGTGTGTCGCCGCTGCCTCGCGCTAATCTCTCTGAAATCTGTTGAGCGAGCTCATCTGAGGGACAAAAAAACCTGACATCATGTTGACAGTTTTTATTTAAAAAGTGATGACTGAATATACCTGAACAAGAAAACTGGGAAAATACTACACTGTTTTTCCAAAATGTGTTTCTCCACAGCTTCATATCTTTCAGCCTGATTCTCAGCAGCAGCCTGTGTCTGTTTTGATGAAGAGCTACAGTAAAGGCTGACTGTCAGAGTAGAAACACTGGTCTTGGATAACTGGCTGAGTTGCTCTGTCGCTCATTGGCTGTGTTCCACTGTGCTCTGAGCAGCTGTTGCGGCATTAATTGGAAACTTTGGGCGTGTTGGATTCAGGTTAGTCAAGGAAGTAGTCGCTTCCAGCCGCCTCAGATTCCTGTTTTTCTATGATTGTTTAACCTGTTTTTTTTAATCTCAGTGAGCTGTAGCAGTCATGGTGCTTTCAAGACCTCTTTGGAAAAAAAGACTTAAGTTTAAAAAGTATAAATCCAATCACAACAGTGTTTCTATCACCAAACAAGTACAAGTAGCAGACCCAAATCGTTGCTCTGCTGTTGTTTCTGACATCTGACAGGACATGACTCTTCTGATAGAGGCAGCGTTTGGGTGCGGCTTCTGAAAAATCCATCTGCAACATTGCAGAGATACTTTAAAGCCACAAAGGGGGGAATTTAGAGGCTGCTGATCAAACAATGCGTCGTCTGTGAGAGCAGAACGAAGCACATGACCTCGGCTCAGACGGCGAGTGCTTTCTCTGAAGCTTCATCACTGAGGCAGGTGTCTGGGAGGAAGAACTGGGTGCGACTGATCGAGAAAATCGGCCCAGTTTATGAGCCAGTTGTGAAGCATGACTCCCATCCATCTTATTCTGATGACAAAGTAAAGGAACCTCCCAAAGCAAGTGGATGAGTTAAACATGAGTGATTCACCATTCAGCTTTTTACAGTGTAATTATAGAACACAAAATTAGGACATGGGGTGTTTTTGATTTGAGATAAATAATGATAATAATAATTATTATAAGTATTAGTAGTAGGAGAAGGGGTTAAGCATAAACTTAGATAATCTAATTCCAACAAAAGAAGGGTGTTTTACAAAGATTTCATAAATGATACCACACCAGTTCTCTATAGATTGGATTCATGTCTTGAATATCTAGTGTTAAGGATTCAGGAGGATATATTGGCAGAAATGGATGTATAGATGTAGATATACCCAAAAATGAGAATCATAGTGCTTTGTTACCTTAGAGTGAGCCGTTTATATCTACATAGGGAGCAGGCCCATGTTTCTACAGTGGCCCAGAATGGACAAACCAAGCACTTGCTCTGATTAGGGCCACCCTTGTTAGCTGCCCCTCCGCAACGAGCCAAACAGCAGTGGAAAAACACTGATTTTTAACATGAAACTGCTTTATTCAGTGTTTCTACCAGTTTAAATCACTGTGTCTGTTTGTTTTGGAGAGGAAGAGACCTCTGCGGATAATTCAGCTCCTGGTAAAAACCTCCCAAACATCTAGATCTTAAGTTATCAGAGAATAAAGGTGAGCACACGTTAGCAGGTGCTGGGCTAGTTGCCTGTTTGCAACAAGCCGAACAGCATTGGAAACATGAACATGAAACTGCGTTATTCAGTGTTCCTCGTGGTTTAAATCAGGGGTCTCATTTATAAGCATTGCGTAAGCAAACAACGAGGCCTGAAAGAGGCGTACACCACTTCCCATGCAAAAGTTCTGATGTATAAAAACAGACTTGATGGGAGAAACTTTGACCCATGCTTACAGACATTTTATAAACAGGAAAATGGCGACACAGATGGTGAGGTGGAAGCCTAATTGTAGGAATTGGCTTCCCTATGCATTGTTTTATAAATTAGACACCAGGTCTGTTTGGAGAGGAAGAGATCTCTACGGACAAATCGGCTCCTGAACGATGAACACTGAAGGAATTCTAACTGGGAGTTCACACCAGCTTTTTAGCTTTTTGCAATCTGGAATCCTCACTGCTTGACGCCACTAAATCCCACATACTGCTTCTTTAAGCCATTTCTTTGTAATTATGTTTGTAGCAGCTTCACTCATTGTTCCAAATTATTGTTAATTGTTTCAATAAAATTCGTAGATATTTAAAGTAGAAGCCCAAAAGGAAGTCTGTCCCACGTACAAGTAGCTTTTGTCCCAAATATAGTCTCCAATTCTGTATAAATCGTACATCAAAAAGTATTTACTTTTGAACAGGCCCAAGTCTAGTGATAATGTTTAGCTTTTACTGAGCCACAGTTCCTCCAGCAGAGTGGTGACACCTCGGAGCAGGTGTAATGAAATGCGTACTAAGACTCTTATGGCCACAAATTTTGTCCAGACGTCTTCTGGAATGAAGCTGTTTCCCATTTTTGTTTAATGTAAGTAGTACTTGCTTTCTTAACCCTCTAAAGTCCCACATATTGTCTTGAAATTACTTTAAGTCCTGAAATTGTCCCAACGGCACCAATAAAAGCTTTTCAAAAGTTGTTTTAAAAAGCCTTTTACTCCCTAACATGGACTTATAGCTGATTACTTGGTGTTATATTATAATAAAAGCTGTTTTTTCCCAGAGAGCCGACGTTGAGTTCAGCGAAACTCGCTCTCTCTGATCCCAAGCAGGATGACTTTTCATTTTGGCAGGTTAACACCCTGAAACATCTGAGTCATGGGTGTGGCCTTACTGTATGTGGCATCTGTGCTGGTCAAACCTGACTGTCACTCTCTGTCTCTCTGTGTCTTTGTGTGTTTGTGGAGAGAGGAAGAGCGATAGAGAGGAATGTTGTCATCATGTTTGCATTTTAATGATCAGCTGACGAAGGACGGGGGCAATTTAGAAGTGGAAATTACCCAATCACTCACTTTAGAGTGATACGTGGAGATAATTCAGCAGCTGTTGAGAATAAGTTGAACTCATTTAGAGCTCAAAAGTTCAACCAAATGTTTTTTTCCTAACTTGAGCCTTTAATTTTCAGTCCGGCCTCGATTCTGATCTGACCTCAAATCGGCCAAAAGCTATACATACTAATATACTATATATTTTTGCGATCAATTGTTTAATGTTTATATTGTAGGCGGGAAAGGCAGTGTTGCAGTCACAAATGTGAAACGATACAAGAAAAAATTTGACATTTCTCTGCCCCCTCTCATTTCCCTTGTTGGCTTTCCCCTGATCCCGTCCACCCCAACCCAATAAACCCTGACAGGGAGAGACCATAGTGCCGCAACTGCAAATACAAGTAGCTTAGTTAAGTAAGGCAGATATTGACTAACAATCACAACTGACTTCGTAATTATTATCACCATCATACAAGACAATGTACATGGACTTAGAACAGGCACAAACCAAAAACATGCAAGAAATAAAATAAAATAAAATAAAATAAAATAAAATGAAATAATTAATAATAATATTAAAAATTCTTTGACATATATATGACTGTAAGACAAAGAGAAATACTGACCATGTTTTAGCACAAAGAAAACATTTTGCCATCGGCTCAAAATCTCAAACACATGAATTTGATGTCAAATTAAATAGCTTAAACAAAAGCGACTCAAGTATCAGATTAAGTCAGATATCAGAGTGAGTTTTTGTTAAATTTTGAAGAGCGATGTGTCAGTTGTTTTGAGTTTTTCATATTTGATGTATTGCCTCGCCCCTCCGTCCCTTACGTTGATTTTTTGTTCGACATTATTGTGTCTCAGCACCACTTTCAGAAAGATACAGTCATTGGTTTTATGTATAGCGTTACAACTTCAGAGCTAAACCTTCTTTCTCTGACTCTGACAGCATCAAACAAACCACCACCTATGTAAATCATGTTTTATCCTACTGTCACTGATACCACTATAGAGCTGCTACTATGACGACAACCTCCCATACCATTATAGGCACTACTGCTGGAGTCCGTTACAGTAACATTAATTGTGATCGACAGCAGATCCTGTCTCTTTAAAAACACAATGTTACAGTCCCAAGCAGGAATAACCAGACACATGTACATGCACTCAGAGCTTAATGCGCTAATAGTGGTTTAGCTGAATGGCACTTTCACTTTAAATCTGGAAATACCAGAGTATTGTGAGCCTCTGAACAAGAGCTGCATGCACCCTGGGCTACACCTATAGCTGTACATACACTTAGAAACCTCAAATACCAAGCTCGCAAATTGAATTAAAAAATAATGTGAACAGAAACATGAAGAAAGAGAAGGCAAACTACAACAAAAGTGACCAGGGCTAAACTTTAAAATTAAGATTACGTCCTCTTTAAAAAAGTTCCTGCAGGCTGAGCTGGAGCTGATAAAACCAGTTGTGTCTTTGATCACGTTCCAACAGTTAAAACACAACAGGTTCATCAGCAGTGGTTTAATGAGAGATTTAAAGCTAAAGATGAATTATCTGTTCTTTAGATTTTTTCTTCTCTATCTCTTATTTCTAACAGCTACTCATCCTGCCTGTGCATTTAACATATTGTTTATTTGCTTCAGACCTCACACCAGTAAACATTATTTCCAGTTTTAAATCCTGTCTTACACACTCATGAAACACAAATCACACACAGCCTTACCTTGGTGGGGTGCTGCAGTCAGTGTGCAGAGATGTGTGAAAGCTGCTGCTGATGTAGAGTGCTGGCAAATTACTGTCTCGTCCACCTGTCCCACCTGTACCTCTACAAGCCTCTCCTTGGACACACCCACAGTGCCGCCCCCTCCCTGGGGGCTGTGGAGTGGAGCGTCAGACACTTCATTTCCTGCTTTCTTGTAAATTCTTGCACAACTTTGTGTCTTCACTGTATCAGTTCATGGGGGAAATGTCTTTACTTGTGTATAGGAAAACACACATTTTTGGATTATCAGAACATGTAACGCAGTGAGACTTTGAGGCATTTTGTGGTGCTTTCAGATATTTATTATCCAGCAGCGTGTGGCACCGGCTGTACGTCAGTTCTCTCTTAACTTAAATGTTTATTGATAATACATCAACAGAGCTTTCACAAATAAGCGGAATGAAAGTACCGCTCTCCCGCTCAAAATTAGTATGATTGTGAATAAATCATTTTAAAAAATTGTCAGGTGTGAATTGAACGTTCTGTTGACCTCTGTGTCTGACGTTTGGTTACAGCTTTGGTTATTAGTCAAACATAATCCATTGCCAGTGTTGGGGTAACCCATTACTAAAGTAACACATTACAGCAATATATTATGTTTTAGCAGCAACAAAGTAATATTACACATTACCAATGGCCTTCGGGTAATATTATCACATTTACAGCTCTACCAGGCTCCACTTCCACCAGTACGCCACCAGAAAAAATAGCATCCGAAGGTTGTTGGGTGTTGTCATGTCATTACAGGCTACATAATAGAAGGGCGCCGGTGATCAGCACATTTGGGTCATGTCGCACTGTGCGTTATCGTGTTCAGTGCTTTCCATTAATATACCTGCAATGTCTTCAACATATCTCATTATGCTTTGCGTTCTAACTGAGGATTCCCACCAAAAGCGACATAGTCGCCTGCGGGTGCTCTGGTCGCTCTGACATCGCTCACACTGCCAGCTCCAGCAGAGGCTTGCAGTGGCCAAAGGGGCGGGGCCAGGCGCTGCAGTTGTGTCCATCTAGGCTGACTGGCTGTGCACTTTACAAGGATGAACAAATATACTATCATTTATGTCTTCACTATATATTATTCATGACTGTCATTACATAATTAAAATAACGCTAATAAACACAGTCATTGAGTCTAATTATTATGATTTTACCCTCCTGTTGGCACGTAGCCTATATATATAGCATGTACATCTTCGGTTTCCTCTTTCACCATGGATCGCACTTCCGGAAGTCTCCTTTGTATTGCATCGGCGTATTTGCTGAGGAAACGCAGGGCCCGGAGCCGTCGGCCCATCTGGGTCCACAGAGTCCTGCACACCCAGTCTGCATTTGGATGCTGCTTCAGCGGTGGCGCTGCTCATTTGCATAAAGTTCAGCTTCTCTCAACTTCTACTTGACACTTTGGTCGCTGGCATCGTACCGCTCACTGCAGCCGACGCCCCTGACGTCCTTCGTCACCCTTCGTCGCCCTTCGTCACCAGCGTGCATTGAAAATGAATGGCTGCCGGCTGCTTATGACGCTCATGCAGCTTTTGGTGGGAATCCACGGTAAGGCTGCTAGAAAGTGGCAGAGATAAGGAGCTGGCCTCCAGTTTGCTTTTTCCTTGATCTCAGTGATCGGCACATCTGGGTGATGTTAGTAAATGGTAAATGATAAATGGACCCACACTTGTATTTTCAATTCAATTCAACCTTTATTTGAATTCGGAGGATCATTGCTAGCAAGCCCTCATTTACAATGATGCCGCAATGGCACCTCTCTAGTCTTTCGACCACTGAAAACACTTTTACACTACAAGTCACATTCACCCATTCACACACATATTCATACACTGGTGGCCGAGGCTACCATACAAGGTGCCACATGCCACTCAGTTATTTTAACACCCTCACACACCGATAGAACAGCTATCGGGGCTATTTGGGGTTCAGTATCTTGCCCAAGGATACTTCGAAATGAGAGTCACACGATTAGTGAAAGAACCATAATTTTGTCTCTGGTGCTGCCGTAGCTGATTGGCACACTGGGAACCAGTATTTGGGTAATTCTATGGTTCGGCCACTGTTCCTGGGGGCCTGACCTGCTCCCTATATATATGAAGGGCTAACTCTAAGTTAACAAACACATAATTCTTAGTTTCAGGTGATTACACACTAATTAGAAGGACTGTTAGGAATATTATCTTCAGTTCCTGCCAGTAAATCCCCTCAGTCCTACACACTGCTGCTTTAAGTCCTGTCCTTTGGATATTTCTCTAAGTACTCTATAATAGTGCCTTTATGTCCAATAATTCCTTAAACTAGGTAACTAGGCATTGCACAATCATCCTGAACAAAAAAGAAGAAACTCACACTGGGTTCACACTGGGCACAGAAGTGTCCTGATTTGTTAATTGACCTGCAGCCGCCCATCAGAAGTCCCCTGGCTGTTCACACTAGAAGCGTATTTCTCCACGCCAGTCAGCAATCGATTCTGCTCTTTGCTCTGTCTAAATTACATGTACGTATCTGTGTGTCTGATAGTCTCTCTCACTCTCTGTTTAGGCACAGCTGACAAATATTAGGATGGGATGCATATTCTACCATTTATCATAGTCAGATCAGGCACGATGTGGTTAGCACTGCCACCTCACAGCAAGAGGGTTCTTAGTTTGAACCCAGGGTGGGGGATCCCTTCTGTGCAGAGTTTGCATGTTCTCCCTGTGTCAGCGTGGGTTTTCTCCAGGTACTCCAGCTTCCTCCCACAGTCCAAAGACATGCAGGTTAATTGGTGACTCTAAATTGTCCGAAGGTGAGAATGTGAGTGTGAATGGTTGCATCCAGTGTGAACAATCCTTTGAGGAGAGTGATGTTGTTCCAAACATAGTTTTTCAGGACAGGAGGAGCTTTATGTATACACTAACTGACAAGCAGTTACTGCGAGATTATAGATTTAATTGGCAGTCTGTTTAAACTTGTTGGACAACAAACTCACACAGGATTTAGAGCACCCTGCTTTCCCCCAGATACTTATTGTACTTTGCTTCATTGCCGTTTGCTCCTTCCAGTCTGTTTTTGGAGTACATACGTCCACAGTGTGCCTGGTTGTGCATAGAGTCTCAGAATGTCCCAGTCGTCTTCTGAACAGCATTGGTGAAGTTTCTCTCCAGAGTGGAGCAAGAGGTGCACCCCCAACAGTTTTGTTTTTTTACACCACTGGATTCCACAAACTGTGTGAAGTCACAGACATGACTCCTGCCTGACGACGATCAGTTTGAAAACAGAAAGAATGAACATCCTCAAACTCATATGTGTCCCTTTCTGTAAAACCATCAACTCAAGGATTCTCCTGGAAAGCATCATTGAGATTGATTTTGAGGCATAAGATGTGACGATCCCGTCAACGGACAGCTGCTTTGTTAAATATGAAATGAACAATACCTTGAGACAAAAAGTATTTGATCAAGTTTATTTACAAGCCTTCATTTTAACAAGGTAATGTATGCAGAAGTTTTTGAAGAGGACAATAGGGAAAGATTTTTTTTCTGCAGGAGTGAGACAAAAATAAAATGGCTCCCAAAAGGTGCATGGGGGTGAGCTTGATTTAATTTAATATAAAAGTGAGCACATAATATTTAAGCTCTGACAACACACTCCCAGTCTGTTTGCTAATAATATGATATTTGATTTTACTTCGGCCAACGCAGTGGCTCATCCATAGAGATAATCTACACTTAAACTGCGACCTTTCTCTGTCAGTTTCATAAAAATGGTGCAGCTGATAAGACAAAGGTAACATGATGTTATTTCTTATTTCTATGGCTCCATTTCTGCCCTCATGTTGGTCATTTACAGCATTTTCTCTTTTCAACGTGCAGCACTTTGTTGCAGCGGGGGCACGTGTGGTACGCATCCTTGAACCTGTTCATGAAGAAGGGAATCAGGCAGCAGCACAGGACTAACCTGCAAAACACACACACACAGAGTTAGTGTCACACAGCTGTACATAAGAATTTGCTTTGTTTTGAACATTCAGCATTTGTAGTTTTGATTTGTTGTTCACTTTTTATGAACTGTACAGAAGTTATTGCGGTGGGGAGGAGGGCTGAATCTTATATTTAATTTTGTAAGTTTTTGAAAATAAAGCCCTGGTGCACAGACAGCATTGTTGTCCTTTGCAGACGGTCTGCTGGGACTAAACAAATTATTGCGGCCATGCTAAAAGGCTGACAACCACCCTGAGGCACACACTCACCCGCAGCAGATGAAGAGTAGGCACATCAGCCAGGCATAGGTCCCTGCTTTGTAGGTGACATTGGTCATGACCTGCTGCTGGCAGGAGGTGCAGGTCGTCATGCCGGGAGAATCCCCCAGCGCCCCATCGTAGCTAACAAATCTCTTTTTGCCATCTCCAGATTCCAAACCTGCATTGAGGTTGCCTCCTCCGCTGGTGTACACTGATGGAGGGAGAGGGTAGGGGAGACGAGAAGGGAGGGCGAAAGAAAGATAGGATGAGTAGGGTTACTTAACTATCCATCCATCCATTTTCTAACCCCTTATCTTCTTGAGGGTCGCGGGGAGGCTGGAGCCGATCCCAGCTGACATTGGGCGAGAGGCAGGGTACACCCTGGACAGGTCACCAGACTATCACAGGGCTGACACATAGACTCAGACAACCAATCACACTCACACTCACATTCACACCTATGGGTGTGTCACCAATTAACCTATCCCCAACCTGCATGTCTTTGGACTGTGGGAGCAAGCCGGAGTACCCAGAGAGAACCCACACTGACACGGAGAGAACATGCAAACTCCGCACACATAAAACTGTGTAAAATCCAAATACTGATAAAGAAAAAATAAGAAATGTGTCAGGAGAGGTCAGGAAGCCACAGGCTTGTACAGATCGACCTTCCCTAAAAACAGACAATGATAATAATAGGGGAAAAAGTAGACAAAAGAACTAAACTAACATTATATGGGAAAATGACAACAAAAGATAAATGACAACAGGAAGCACAATGAGTAATCAGTGAAAAATAATCCAAGAAACAA